CTGTTCTCTTTATAGGTTTTGAAATTGCACCTAGTAGGTTTTCTATATTTAGAAGCTTTCAGTCCAACAAAACACATTGCCAGGAACAATAGTTCAAGAACAGCTCCTGAGCAGCTGCGGGCTCGGTGAATTGAGAGTTAATTAGCCTATTTATTGCAGATAATTATGCACATTATTATAATTGAAGGAGCACCCCTTTTATAGCTGCTGTGCAGTTTTTCCAACCGTTAAGGTTGATTGTAGGGTTCTTGGAGGAGAGACAGGCATATGCATGGAGAGTATGTGAAATGATTGCACATAAGCTTACGGCGTCTGAAATTCGTGCAAGTAGCCTCCAGAGACCAAAGCCAGCATATTTAGTTTCCAACCAATCTCTTCATTGCTTTATGGACCCGTCTGCTGTGGGAGAGGAACAGTTGACAATTTAAAAGACACTTTCAAAAGAGGGAGTTCATTTTATTTCTATATTTACTACAATTTTACCCTCTAGGAGGTTCAGGGCAGGCATATAGAGCTACCTCTCAATCATAAGATGGAGCTGAGAGACACTGATGGGCTAAAAAGGAATTAGGAAGTTTCATGATTGAGTGGGAATTTGAACTAGATCAGTGGTTCCCAATCCCTTTTTGACTACGAACCACTCTCCAACATATTTAATAATCTTGAGCCATTTATTTATTTATTTAATCATGTCAGGAGCAACCAGACATTTGTATTACATTTTTAACAAAACAAACAAACAAACAGACAGACAAAACACAAAGTTTGCAAGCTCGGTAGTTGATTAAATGACCTTTGACCAGTATCTGGCCACTTGGAGTGCCTCTGGTGTTGCCGCAAGGAGGTCCTCCATTGTGCATGTACCACAGCTCAGGTTGCATTGCAGCAGGTGGTCAGTGGTTTGCTCCTCTCCACACTCGCATGTCGAGGATTCCACTTTGTAGCCCCATTTCAGAAGGTTGGCTCTGCATCTCGTGGTGCCAGAGCGCAGTCTGTTCAGCGCCTTCCAAGTCGCCCAGTCCTCTGTGTGCCCAGAGGGGAGTCTCTCATTTGGTATCAGCCATTGGTTGAGGTTCTGGGTTTGAGCCTGCCACTTTTGGACTCTCGCTTGCTGAGGTGTTCCAGCGAGTGTCTTTGTAGATCTTAGAAAACAATTTCTTGATTTAAGTCGTTGACGTACTGGTTGATCTTGAGCTGATGTGGTAATAGTAATCTTTTGTGGGTTTTCTGCCTCTCCCCTCCCGACATCCCTGTTGGGTTTTGCAAGAGCAGTTGCTCTTGTTGCTGGGTGATTTCGAGGCAATGGTGTAGTAATTTTGAGGCTGCAGACCATATCTTTGTTCTTGTGGACCATGGGTGGTCCATGGACTACAGGTCGGGAACTACTGAACTAGATTAAATGCTAATTTAATCGGAGACTGAGAAAGTTACTTTTTGGACTCAATGTCATGAATCATTCAAAATTATGCCATAAATGTCAACATGAGACATACACCTGTTGTATTATTGACTATATAGTGACATACTAGATTTAGAAGAGACAATTCGTTCAAAACATTTGGCTAGGAGGAAACAATAAAGACGGCTGGTAATTAGGACGGATGAACTTAAGTTAATTGAATCTTTTTAAAAATTACAGACATTAGAACTAAGTTTTGAGATGCATGATTGATGAACCAATCAACAGTTCAGATGTTGTTTTTCTGAACAGGATTTTGCATGCAGGACTTTTCTAAAACTGTTATTATTGCTCAGTTCTGATGACGAGTGCTATGTGTAGAATCTACTGTTTCTTAACAAATTATGCATTATCTACATGACAGTAAGACTTTTCTTTGAACATATGGTTAGACTGCCTCAGGCTTTAGCACCCTGGATTAACCGCTAGCTGCAGAAAAGCTAGCCAATCGAAAAGTTGACAGTTCAAGTCCGGGTTGGAGTGGGCAAAAGGAGGGCCTCCCTTGAGGATCGAAGGGATCGTGCAGGGCTATGGTAAGAAATGCCATGGTAAGAAATGCACTTAACCAACAATTGAAGAACATTCTGAACTCCACCAACGATGGAATTGAACCAAATTTGGTATACACAACTCCCATGACCAACAGAAAATACTGGAAGGGTTTGGTGGGCACTGACCTTGAGTTTTGGAGTTGTAGTTCACCTACAATCAAAGAGCATTCTGAGCCCCACCAATTATAGAATTGGGCTAAACTTGCCATTGAAAACCTATGCCTTGAAGGGACAAGCTGGTGGCCTCCCTCCAGCCTTGCATACTCTCCCTTGCTTGCACATGTGCCGAGCACGCCTGCTCTCCCCTCCCCACTTGGAGTCTCAGGAACAGCCCTTGGCTGAGAGGTCAGCTGAGAGGCTGGTCAATCATAGCAGAGGAGGGCTTTTGGTGGGAGGATTTGCTGTCGTTTCCAAAAAGGAAGAGAAGGACAGGCGGAGAGATCTTTAGCCTTCTTTGCCAAAGGAGTTCCTAAGACCATCTAAAATATATGTTTTCTGATATAGGTTTCAAAGGGGTCTTTGGTGACCCCTTTGAAACCCCCTCGTGACCCCCTCAGGGGTCCCGACCCCCAGGTTGAGAAACACTGATCTAAATAATATTTCAGTCAGGAACTCTACAAATCGCACACAATTAAGATTTTTTAAGTCCTTCAAATTACTATTTTCTCAGCCTAAGGAAATCTTTTTGGATTTAATGCATGTTTAGAAACATAGTAATATTGAAGCTAGTGGGGGGAAAAAAACCTCATAATCACTCAAGTTATTTTCATTGCAAACCTCAATGGTCTCCAATATTTGCAGCAATTTCCAAACCTGGCTGGTACTGATCTATAAAGCAAGCTCCTTCTGGTATGTACTTAAATAATGAAACACAAAAGCACACAGAGAATAGATACTTTATTCTCAAAATATAAAAAGAAATATTGCCATGTCTTTCTTCTAAATCAAACTTTCATTGCACCATAATTCAGAAAAGCTCAAAACAGAAATAAAAAGTAACCCCGTCAAAATAACATTAGGTTGGAACATTCCAGGTCTTTGTTCCAAAACCGTCGTCTTGTTCTGAGCTTGAAGTTCCCAAAATCAATTAAGAAGACAATCACTTGGAGAATAAGCAAATCATTAAAAAAATGCCAAACTGACGTAACGTTAAACCCCAATCTGGAAATGCCTGGATACATCTGCATAGACATACATCACATTTATTAATGATAAGAAATGCAAAGTTGGGAAAAGGAAGATCTTGATTCCAGAGAACAGGGGTTAGTAAACTCTCCTCTTTGGGCAGCTACAAAGCAATGTTGACTTCTGTGGACATCTGTGTCTGGAATGTTTGGAAGGCAAAACCGTTTTAGAAATGGAGCCTGTGGAAAAGCCACAAAATGGTAGCATTTAATTTGAAGTAAAAGAAAAAAAAATGCCATTTGCAGTGTAGTAATGGCAAAGGGAAAGAAGTGCACTTGACTCTTTCCTCCTTTTCATGTCCCATATGAAACTGTTTTCCTTCCTGCCATTTCCATCTGAAGTTGTAGTAAGACTGCATCTCTACTGTAGAATTAATGCAGTTTGGCACTACTTTAACTGTGATGGCTCAAAGCTATGGAATCATGGAAGTTGTGGTTTTGACAAAGTCTTTAGCCTTCTCTGCTGAAGAGCACTAGTGCCTCACCAAGCTATAAATCCATGGGTTCCAGGGCATTGAACCATGGCAGCTAAAGTGGTTATCAAACTGCATTGTATGCCTTTATAGTGTAGATGCAGCTTCAGTGGGAATGGAATGACTGTCAGAAGGATCATCAGGAGGAAAACAGAAAGGGCAAATTCTTTCTTCCTCCTGTCATTTGAGAACTGTTTGGCAGAGACCAGTATGTGTTTGCCCATGAATTTGTATACAGAGACACTATAAGTATAACTTTGTTGTCTTGTTCCTGCTTTGTTTTAGTGGAGACTTTTAAAGAAAAGCTAAGTGGGTGATATTTCCAAGACTTCTTCTTGGAATTGAGGCACAAGGTACTTTTCAAATGGAAAAACTGTTCCTATAAAGCAATGGTTCTGAACCTGTGGGTCCCCAGGTGTTTTGGCCTACAACTCCCAGAAATCCCAGCCAGTTTACCAGCTGTTAGGCTTTCTGGGTGTTAAAGGCCAAAACATCTGGGGAGCCACAGGTTGAGAACCATTGCTATAAAGAGTTTGGGCCTCTTGAAATTTCATTCTGGTTAACAGCTACATAATAGTTGTTTGTTGTTCATGTACTACTAGAACAATACATTAATATTTTCCCACCAGAATATCAGTATATCATATCGCTAAAATCCAATCTTTGACTTTAAACAACTGCATGAAAACATCTATGAAAAAAGTTAAGTAAATCCAATAAATTTACATTGGCCACCTAGCCCAACAACTTTTAACAACTCCAGCATTCCATGTATCCCCTATTAGAGTGTTATGGGAATAATACGACCCTCCAGATGTCCTTAGACTGCAACTCACAGCATTCTTCATTACTGGCTGTGATAACCAGGGCTGCATGCGTCTTGCCGTCCAGCAAGATCTGGAAGACCTTATGATTCCTACCCTTGCTTTAGTATACAGGGATGGGAAGCAGGGGCTAGAGCAGGCATGGGCAAACTTTGGCCCTCCAGGTGTTTTGGACTTCAACTCCTACAATTCCTAACAGCTTCAGGCCCTTTCCTTTCATCCCTCAGCCGCTTAAGCTTAAGCCCAAAACACCTGGAGGGCCGAAGTTTGCCCATACCTGGGTTAGAGAGAATCCAAGCCAATTCTTGTTTAATAGAGACTAGTTTATATATATTAGCCTAGTGGTCAACTTCCAACACCGGATTTTCCTTCATATTAATTTAAATAATGTTTCCAGAAATGTCCAAGGGGTGGTCCAAGAAGAAACGCAATCCAGAAAGATTGGAATGGGGCTGTTGGCCATTACAGAAATATCACATTTTTAAAAACTTCATTCTTTCCCATGCAGGAACCTTTCAGATGTGCCGGACTCAAAACCAATTATGCCTAGTCACTCTGCTGTTTGTGAAAGATGGCTACTATTGTCTAATAGTTGAACAGCGCTGGAGAGGTTGCTCTAAAACAATGGTTCTCAACCTGTGGGTCCCTAGGTGTTTTGGCCTACAACTCCCAGAAATCCCAGCCAGTTTACCAGCTCTTAGGATTTCTGGGCATTGAAGGCCAAAATATCTGGGGAGGCACAGGTTGAGAACCAACAATCTAAAATACTTAGCAGTACTGAAGTTCAGTAAATCATATAATTTGCTTCTTCTAGAAGACTTGGTGGAAGCCTCTTGACACACCCATCGGAGTCCCTTCATATGCAGCCACAAAATCAAAGTTTTGTTAACTCTCTTGGTTGGGCCTGCTTGCAGTGCCCAGGTGACATGCTCTCTTCCTCATGTGGTTGTTTAATGCTCTCTCCTCCTCATATATTAGCTGTGTAGAATCATACTGCATGGGAAACAGCTCCCATTTAACCTTGTGTGGATGTGTAGGAAGCTAATGTCACTTTGAAGAAAGATTTGGTCGGAATTTAAAGCACGGTGGGGAAAGTCGTCCTCCCTTATTCTTGGCTCTTTTGCCTAGAGCTAATGGGAGTTGCAGTCCAACATATCTATACTTCCCTTTCCTATGCTTGAATTGATGTCTCTAACACATTGTGGATTTTCCACCCAGGCTCATGTGGCTATAAACAGGTGCCCAAACTAGAAGTATAGTTTAGACTACAAGGGACAGCAGAAAAGGCCCTATACCTCATTTTTTGGATATGTTAAGAAAGAGAAAGAAAACTTGACCAGGAAGATGAAAGGGACTGTGGCAATCTGGTGTTTCAAACTAAATATCACGTTCGTTGCTGCTGTTCAATTTGGATAATGAGATGCAACCGTTGTTTTACAATGGCAGTGTTCAGGTCCCATAAGAACTCCAGGAATGAACCCTTTAGAAGATTTTCCATAGGCACAAATTGCAAGATCTGCTGTGGGGAGTCTGAGTCCAGCAAGGTGCGAATGAGTTTATTCAGTTGCTGTAAGTATTGGAAAACTGGATCTGGAAGGTCTTGATAGCCAATGCACAGCAGTGCTGCACTGGTTCCTAAAGGCTGAGATGAGGTGGGGCAGACAAATGATATGTGCTGGAAACAGCTATGCAATATGAAAACTAAGCCGGCCATGAAGCGTGTAAAACAGGAAAGAACAGGCAGAACCAAAGCATTTCCTTTCTGAAGGTGGGGAAGCAAATGCAAGAGGCACTCCAAAAGTTGCTGCTGATACTTGGGTTCTCCATCATGAAGCAAGGAACAGCTAAAAGTTGACAGAGATCCAGACTCTAGGAGTTTAACTTCTAAACCAGATTGGTTCTCAGCATCACAAAATGATGAGAAGCCTACAACCAAGCACCTTCTCTGCTCAATACCTTCTTCATTTGGAACTTGTTCATGATGATGTTCCATAAGGTCTGCCAATTCAGACAGTATCATGCATTCTGTAAGAACGTGGCAAGAGGGGCATTCTTGCTGGGTCAGCCTCATGATGGCATCAGCACTTGCTTGCCCAACTAAAGATTTCTCCAAGGCTTCATTGAGGTTCTTCAAGGCCTCACCATCACAGAAGGAAGAGCATGTGACTTTAGGCAACCTCCGCCCTTCCAAGATATACCACAAGTCATAGTCCTGGCTACAAGTTCCTCCTTCTAAAACACAGCTTTTGCCAGCATTTCCAAGAGAGTGCTCTTCAGCCCAGTAGTTAAGACAGCCCTTCATTACTTTAGTTTCCCATGACAGGGACTCCATCAACTTCCTTTCATTGTAAGTGCAGAAATACCTGTTCCTCTGTCCACACCATTTAGCATTCATGCTGCAGCCAGCACGGGGTTTCTTCACTAACCAATTATTTCTAGCAATGGGTTTCACTTGGAACTTCTGCAGGAAAAACTCAACAGCACAATCCCGTAGAACATTTAGTCTTTTCCGTTCCACCTCACCCATGGATGCAAAGAGTCTGAGATTGTCCAAAATTGTCTCGGTTTGGTGCCTGTGGAAGAACGAACAACATTCCTCGTGAACTTTAAGGAAGGATTCTGGAATTAAGTGTTGAGGGAAAAGGGCCTTCTCCACCATTTCTGTCCCAAAGTTCTGCATCATTTTGGACAAATACGAGTGGGCAGCCTCCCTGCCCAAATAGCGAAGGCAAACCACATACACCTCGGAGTTCCCAGCTTTACTGGTGGCTGGTTTGAAAACATGGACCTCCTCAAAAGAACAGTTCAGCAGAAAGAGCAAGTTAACGGAACAGTGTTCAAACAGAGTGAACATCTTCAGAACAAAGGAGCCACCAAGCCCAAGGGTCATTAAAGCAGTGACAGTTTCACAATAATGTAAAGAGGAAACGAGGGCTTCCTGTTCACCTGGATTTCCTTGGCAATCAAAACTCCCGTCGGATGTGACCAGGTGGACAGTGGTCATGTTGCTGATGAAACGCTGCAATCCGGTGAGATGTTTCAAAGTCATGACGTCTCCAGTGTTGTCAGGGCCAAAATACCACCAGGGCAAAGTGTTTGCAATAAGTCTGTCATCCATAATCATCATGAGGGTATTGTTCGCTTCGTGATACGGGTTCAAGGTATTGGCAACCCAGTTCCAATCGCAAGGGATGCGGTGAGACTTGAGGTAGTGGTTAAGGCTGGCTATAAAAGCACCAGGCGCTTCACAGAGATGGATGGAGTTGAGCTCTCCATTTTGAAGCGCTTCACTCGGGAGCACAGGAAAAGTGCACAGGATCTCATGAAACTTGCACCACGCCTGGGTGCACAGTTCGGCATTTACAGATTTCTTGAGATTAGCAATTATTGTCCCAGCTCTGTTGGTGAAAGAAGTGTGTTGATGCCATTCGTCTAACTTCTTATCACTCAGCCTGTTCTTGACTTCATTCAGAGAATTTTTCAGAGCTGCAAGGGAACTGAACTCTTTATGATCACAGGTAAAAACCTGGTTAGGATCAGGCAGCTGCCATTCGTTGTTGGGTGGCTTGGCATACAGAAATTGCTTCTGAAACAGCTTCTCTGTCTCGGCAACGATATCCAGATCAAACCGATCAAGGTTTGTTGTCTGATCAACATACATCATATTCTTTTGTTTGCTCATTTTGAGATGGAGGCAAACCTTGGGAAAAAGGAGAAACAGAGTTGGTGATTCAATATATCCACCACAAAGCCACCACACAGATCACAGGACAAAGTAAATACAGAGAAGTTCCCATTAGGCCCCTTTTAGGGCCCTTTATCCCAAGATCTGATCACAGGTTTTCTGTTTATCCCAGATTATCAGGCAGTGTGAACTCATATAATCCAGTTTAAAGTAGAAAACCTGGGATCAGATCCTGGAATATAGAAAAGGCCCCTATACTGTCATATACCAGGATCTAATCCCGGGTTATACTTTGAACTGGATTATATGAGTCTCCACTGTCATATAATCTGGAATGAGCGGATAATCTGGGATCAGATCCTGAGATATAAGGACACTATAGATCCAGCCTTAGAAAAGAAGAGAGTTTTTAGTTTAGTATTAGAAAAGAAAAAAGTTTTACTTATGAACAGGCAAAATGAATAAAAAAAGATATAGCAATAAGTCTTACCTCCGCTTCACACTCAGACAACATAGATAATACAATTCCTGGCTCAGTCATCATATTTAAATGTAGCCCGCTAGAAGTACTTCACAGTTGACTAAATTGCAAATATGTGTAAACACCAAGGACTGGGCATTAAAAAATGAGAATGAGAGTGTGTGAGTCTCACAAGGTTGCTGAAAAGGAATTGAAGCATGGGTTGCTGTGAGTTTTCTGGGCTGTATGGCCATGTTCCAGAAGCATTCTCTCCTGATGTTTCACTCATATCTATATCAGGCAGACTCAGAGGTTGTCTGTTAGCAACTAGGCAAGTGGGGTTTATATATCTGTGGAATGTCCATCGTGGAAGAAGGAACTCTTGTTCTGCTTGAGACAAGTGTGAATGTTGCAATTGGCCACCTTGATTAGCACTGAATAACTTGCAGCTTCAAAGCCTTGCTGGTTGCTGCTAGGAGGAATCCTTTGTTGAGAGGTGTTAGCTGGCCAGATTGTTTTCTGTCTGGAATTCCCCTGTTTTCTGAGTGTTGTTCTTTATTTACTGTCCTGATCTTGGTGGTTTTTAAAATACTGGTAGCCAGATTTTGTTCATTTTCATGATGTCCTCCTTTCTGTTGAAACTGTTGAAATTGTCAACATGCTAGTGGATTTCAATGGCTGTATAATCTGGTAGTTGTTAGAATGGTCCAGCATTTCTGCCTTCTCAAATAATATGCCTTATTCAGGTTGGTTCATAAAGTGCTCTGTTCTGGCAGACTTCACTGGTTGAATTAGTCTGCAGTGTCTTTCACGTTCCTTGGTTTGTGTCTGGGCAATGCTGTGGCATTTGAGGGTCCCTATAGAGACTTCTTGTCCACAGCTGGAAGGTATACAGTAGAGGTGAGAGGATCCCTCTTGTCCTTTGCTGAATGTAGCATTTGTTGGATTTTCTTAGTGGGCCTGTAGATAGTTTGTAGGTTATGTTTCTTCATCAGCTTCCCTATGTAGCCAGTGGTTCCCTTGATGTAGGATAAGAACACTTTTTCTCTAGGTGGATCTTTGTCTTTACTCTAATAAATAATAATAATAATAATATCAACTGGTGGGATCACAAGTCGGAAAAAGTTACAGAGAATGAATATGCCAAACTCCTCTGAGACTTCCAAATTCAGACAGACAGAGTTCTGGAGCACAATACTCCTGAAGATTGAAGAGATCGGGCAGGTTTGTGGAAAGAGAAGCAGTCACAAAGGTAGGCAGGTCCCAAACCGTATTGGCTTGTTCTCGATCTTGCAGCTCTTCTGATGTCTGTGGTGGCATATCTATTGCCCTGTAGAGCCCAGTTTAGGTGCTTCAGTTCACCTTGGAGGAGGTGGGGGTTTGCAGATTCTTTTTGCACGGTCTGGCTCATCAAGGTATCTAATTGCAACATTCACACTTGCCTCAAGCAGATGAGAGTTCTTTCTCCCACCCTGGACATTATTCCACAGATATATAAACCCCACTTGCCTAGTTTCCAACAGACCTCACCACCTCTGAGGATGCCTGCCACAGATGTGCGTGTAACGTCAGGAGAGAATAATAATAATAATACTTTATTTATACCCCGCTCCATCTCCCCCAAGGGGACTCGGTGCTGCTTAAATGAGGCCACGCCCATCAGTACATTACATAAACAATATAACACAATAATAAACAATATAACCAAGGGCAAGATGGATGGATGGCATCCTTGAAGTGACTGGACTGACCTTGAAGGAGCTGGGGGTGGTGACGGCCAACAGGGAGCTCTGGCGTGGCCTGGTCCATGAGGTCACGAAAAGTCGGAGACGACTGAACGAATGAACAACAAATAACACAAGAACATAATAAAACCAAAAAAAAAAAAAAACATAAATGCAAAACAATATAATAGCAACACAACAATACAAAATCGGACATTAAAACACAAAAGATTTCGCTGGGCAGGGCCAAATTCAGGATAAAATTATAAAAATTTAAAACACTGGGAGATAGGACAATGTCAAACATCGGGAGGGGGGTCCAGGGATGAGGAAGGATTTAATTGCACGAACCATAAATAAAGTGCTACTGAGGTCATTTAGTGCAAAGTTTTTGGTCAGGGAGTACCTTACGTTCAATCACTGAAGGCACATTGGAATAACCAAGTTTTCAGATTCTTCCTGAAGATTGCCAGCGTAGGGGCTTGCCTAATGTCTTTGGGAAGTGAGTTCCAGAGTCGAGGGGCCACCACAGAGAAGGCTCTCTCTCTCGGCCCCGCAAGTCGCACTTGTGATGCAGGGGGGAGCGAGAGAAGAGCCTCTCCAGAAGACTAAAGAGATTGTATGGGTTCGTAAATGGAAATGCGGTCGCGAAGATAGGCGGGTCCCAAACCTGCTTCTGGAACATGGCCAGACAGCACAGTAAACTCACAGTAATCCAAAGTTGTTGTTGTTGTTATCAGGAATGGATTTCCCTTCCGAGGGGTAGATTTCTCTTATGTCTTGTTGTCTCACCCCTGTTCTCAACTATGAGTCGTTCGTAACTCAGGGGCTAAATGGCATTTATTCTCTATCTACAGTACATGCACGGGTAAAATAAATAGTTTGCATTCCTTCTACACTGTGAGATGAGGCATGGGCAAACTTTGGCCCTCCAGGTGTTTTGGACTTCAACTCCCACAATTCCTATTGGCTGTTAGGAATTGTGGGAGTTGAAGTCCAAAACACCTGGAGGGCCAAAGTTTGCCCATGCCTCATCTCACAGTCAATGGGGCCTGCACCCACTCAAGGCCAGGCCTGATGTTGCACATCCATTTAAACTATGCCACAATCTTATCCAACAACACACAATACTTACATCCAGTAAATGCTGGATCTGCACACTCATTAGAAACCCTGCTTCACTTACAAGGATCCTTCACCAAGAGGGAACATCCTCCCTTTAGTCCTGAAGCCCCATCCACATCAGAGGAAAAGTTGCTTTGCTTAGAAACTGACACCAAGCTGATGCGCATGCGTACTTCCTTTAGGTGACAGTGGCAATGGGGAGGCAACCTCTCTCTGTCTTTCAACTCGCGCATGCGCAGTGCCACGCTCTCCGTTTCTTGGGATATATAGAAACACCGCCTCCTGATTCACGCATGCGCAGTTCCAGTTTTAGCATCCAGTGCGTTTCATAAGGAGGCAACCTCTCTCTGTCTCTCAACTCGCGCATGCGTAGTGCCACGCTCTCGGTTTCTTGGGGATATATGGAAACACCGCTTCCTGATTCACGCATGCGCAGTTCCAGTTTTAGCATCCAGTGCGTTTCATAAGGGGAGGCAACCTCTTTCTTTTTCTCTCAACTCGCGCATGCGCAGTGTCACGCTCTCAGTTTCTTGGGGGATATATGGAAACGCCGCCTCCTGATTCACGCATGCGCAGTTCCAGTTTTAGCCTCCAGTGCGTCTCAAAAGGGAAAAAAAGAGGTAACTCGCGCATGCGCTAAAGAGTGCCCTGGTGCCAAGAGCCCGCCCAGCTTCCCGCGCGCACAGGATGGGCGGTTTGCTTCGCCGGATGTGACGTCCGCAGCGGCGGCTTGAGGCATTTGAAGAGCGGCGGTGATGGAGAAGGTAAGGAAGGAGCGGCCTGGTCTTGTTTTGAGTTGTGTACTTACAAATTCATGGCCGTAGCTAAGTAGAATCCTAAAGTAACGCTTTCAGAAGCCCTCATGAAGAGTTTTTCATATATGAGTGTGTGTATATATGTATATGTATGTATGTATGTATATATATATATATATATATATATATATATATATATGTTCGTTTGTGGGATTAACAGTACTCAAAAACCACTGGACGAATTGACACCAAATTTGGACACTATACCCCTAACAGACCAATGAGTGACCATCGCACACACACAAAACCCCAGCAGAACAGACTTAAAACCCCAAAATACACAATATGTATACATATACACATGCACACATTCATACACACACACACACATGCACACACACACGCAAATATACACACATACATATATACACATACACATGCACACATACACATGCACACATTCATACACACACACATATGCACAAACATACACAAATATACACACATACATATATACACATACATATACACATGCACACATTCATACACACACATATGCACAAACACACACAAATATACACATACATATATACACATGCACACATTCACACATGCACAAACACACACAAATATACATACATATATACACATGCACACATACATATTTACATATACACATACATATATACATATACACATACATACACATATACATACACACACATATACACACAAATATGCATATAGGCAAGCATACACAAACAGCACAATTATACACACGCATACATATACACATGCACACACATATACATATACACACATATTCATAATAATAATAACACTTTCTTTGTACCCCGTTACCATCTCCCCAAGGGACTCGGTGCGGCTTACATGAGGCCGAGCCCAAACACAACAATACAGGCAATAATCAGAACAATACAAGCAATTAAAATAAAATATTCATATACACATACATACATACAAATATGCATATAGACAAGCACACACATACACGATATGCATGTGCACATATAAACACACAAATATATATATATATATATATATGTACACACATGCACATATATACACACATATATACACAAATATATAAACACACAAAACAAATATACACAGACTGGGCCACACAACACGTGGTAGGGGACGGCTAGTATATATATATATATGCACACATAGGACACTCTCAGTTAACCGGCACCCATGGGGATAAGATGCCGGATAATCTTATTTTCTGGTTGCTTGAGAGTTTTTGTCGGTTGCTTGAGCTCCGGTAATGTATGACCCCTTTAGACTGCAATATAATCCAGATTATCTGCTTTGATTGTATTATATGAGTCGAAACCGCCATGCAATCCAGATTATCTGCTCTGAATTTGATTATATGAGTTTACACTGCCATAGAATCCAGATGTTCAGCTTTGAACTGGACTATATGAGTTTGCACTGCCATGTAACCCAGATTATCAAAGCAGAGAATCGGAAGAGTTGGGAGAGACCACATGGGCCATCTAGTCCAACCCCTTTCCATGAAGGAAAAGCACAAAGTATCCCTGAGAGATGGCCATCCAGCCCCCGTTTCCAAGGAAGGAGCTTCCACCACCCTCTGATGCAGAGAGTTCCACTGCTGAACAGCTCTCAGTCAGGAAGTTCTTCCTAATGTTCAGATGGAATCTCCTCTCCTGTAATTTGAACCCATTACTCTGAGTCCTAGTTTCCAGGGTAGCAGAAAACAAGCCTACTCCCTCTTCCTTATGACATTCTTTCATATATTTATACATGGCTATCATGTTTCTTCTTACCTTCTCTTCTGCAGGCTAAACATGCTCAGCTCTTTAAGACGCTCTTTATAGGGATTCATGGTCTCCAGACCCTTGATCATTTTAATCACCCTCCTCTGGACACCTTCCAGTTTGTAAATATCTTTTTTGAAACTGTGGTGCCCAGAAGTGGACACAGTATTATTCCAGGTGAGGTCTAACCAAAGCAGAATACATAGGCACCATGACTTCCCTCAATCTAGATACTATAATTCTCATTATTTGCCTTGAACTGGATTATACGAGTCTACACTTCTATACCATCCAAAGCACATTATCTAGATTTTATATGGCAGGGTAGAAGTGGCGGAGCAGGCGGAGGATAACATGGTACATGTTACAACGGCTGCGAAGGCGGAAGAAGGCTGCAACAGACTGAGAAGCCACAGTCATTGTGTTAAACTACATCACCAGTGGAACCTCACTCTGTGAAGACTGTGTGTTGATCAGTTGTGCACTGACCTCCACACATTAAAAAAACCCACGCACAGGCGTCTTCCAAAGAAAATAAAAAACAAACCAACAAAAGTCCCATGGCGATCAGCGAGTGGCGACGGGGGCAGGACTGTGAAATCTGGAAGCCCCTAGTCACAGACTGGCACATGGGCGGTGGGTATGGACTCAGTCGTTCTACCTCAAGGTCCGAGGCAGTTGAGTAGTTCGGCAGCTGTATCCGCGACTGAGCAGCCCTTTTGAGGACCCACTCTGCTCACCCCACATGGGGAGGGGGCTAGAAAAGGTGCCCTAAACATAGTCTGCCTCACTTATCCCTGACTGGACTGCCGCGTCCAGTGGGGTCACCACCCTGCGGCCAAAAAAGGAAAATGAACTTCGGTACGTGGAACGTACGGACTCTGATGGACAACAGTGGCAGTGAACGCCCCGAACGCAGAACTGCCATCATTGCAAGGGAGCTGGGACGCTTCAACATCGACATAGCAGCCCTTCAGGAGACCCGGAGAGCAGGAGAAGGACAGCTGAAGGAAGAAAAAGGAGGCTACACCTTCTTCTGGAAGGGACTGCCCGAAAAAGACCAAAGAATGCACGGAGTTGGCTTTGCCATCAGAAATGATCTGATGAAACATCTGTCCGAAGCACCCACTGGCATCAACGAACGACTCTCAACCCTCCGAATCGATCTTGCCAAAAACCAACGGGCAACCATCATAAGTGCCTATGCACCAACACTAGATGCTGACGAAGACATCAAGGAGAAATTCTACTGTCAGCTGGACACCGTCCTATCGGGGATACCTAAGGAGGACAAAATCATCCTCCTGGGGGACTTCAATGCAAGAGTCGGGCGAGACTTCGACCTGTGGCCAGGGACCATAGGAAAAGACGGGGTTGGAAACAGCAACTCAAATGGCATCCTGCTTCTCACCAAATGTGCGGAGCACAACCTTGTCATCACCAACACGCTCTTCCGCCAGAAAAACAAGTTCAAGACGTCATGGAAGCACCCCCGGTCAAAGCATTGGCACCTCTTAGACTATGTAATCACACGCGCCAGAGACCGCCGTGACGTGCTCCTCACAAGAGCCATGACAGGTGCTGACGACTGCTGGACTGACCACAGGCTAATTCGATCCTCGATGGCTATCAAGATCGCTCCCAAGCGCAGACTCCAAGGAAGGAAGACAAGGCGCAAAATGAACACCCAAGCCCTTCAGGAGCCCTCCAGACGAGCCCATCTCCAAACAGCACTCAAGGACCATCTACCCACAGTACACCCCGAAAATGTCGAGGAACATTGGAACAAACTGAAGACCTCCATCATCCAAGCCTGCGAAGAAACTATTGGATACCAAGCCAAGAAACATCAAGACTGGTTTGATGAAAATGACATCGAGATCCAACAGCTAATTGACAAGAAAAGGAAAGCCTTCCAAGCATGGCAGAGAGACATCAACTGTGCTGCTAAGAAAAAGATCTATGCCAGTGCAAAAGCTGAGGTCCAAAGAAGGACAAGAGAACTCAAGAACATCTGGTGGACAAAGAAGGCCGAAGAAATCCAACACCTGGCAGGTACCCATAATGCTCAGGGATTTTTCAAAGCCACAAAGGTCATCTACGGACCAAGAAACCATGGCATACAGCCTCTACGCTCATCAGATGGAACCAAACTCCTGAAGGACCAAAACTCAATTGCACTACGTTGGAAAGAACACTACCAAAGCCTCCTGAACCGCAGCTCCAATGTGGCCGAAGAGGTCCTCTCACAAATCCCACAACAACAAACCAGGGATGAGCTTGCAGCACTGCCTAGTTTGGAAGAAGTCAGCAATGCCATCAGCCAACAAAAATAACAAAGCCAGTGGACCTGATGGGATCCCTGCTGAAATCTTTAAAGAGGGAGGACCTGAGCTGACACACCAACTCCACCAGCTCATAGAAAAAGTGTGGGTGACCCAGAAAATCCCAGCAGATTTCAAGGACGCCACCATCATCACCCTCTTCAAAAAAGGGGAAAGAACAGACTGCGGAAACTATCGAGGTATCTCCCTTCTAACCTCCGCTGGGAAAATCCTCGCAAGAATCCTTGCAAACCGCCTTCTGCCCCTCTCAGAAGACACCCTTCCAGAATCTCAGAACGGCTTCCGCCCCTCCAGAGTACTAAATAGAATAGAACAACAGAATAACTTTGTCACTGCACATTGTACAATGGTAAAATGCCAATTACATTATGTATGTAGAATTACAGAACAGCACCTATCCTTCCACATTCTAATCACTATTGTACAAGCTCCTGCCACATCAGTGTGAAACCATAGAATTCAGTATACTCACATCTCTAGGATAAAAGCTACCCCTTGGCCTATTTGTCTTTTTTGCTCATTCTATACTGAAGTGCTGGAGTCTTCAAGTCTGTTGTGGTACCACTTCTGGATATTTTAAAAAAAATGTTTGGGTGGGGAAGACTGGTCCCCTATGGCAGCAGTGGTCCTTCCCCTCTCTGCAGAATAACCCTTGACTTTTCCACAGGTCCTATAAAAATCATAATTTTGGCCCAAAAATCTACCCTCAAGTTATACATACGTATAAAGCACAGGTTGCTTTTGAGAGAAGGGATAGTTCTTCATTCTCAGCTTGTGTACATTACAAGGTTGTAGCGAGAATATAAGGGAGAAGGCAATCATAAATACTAAGACTGAGCTCCTTGGAGGAAAACTGAGATGAAAATGTAATCACCAAGATAACTTACAAGTAATTTGTATTAACTTTCAGAGTAAACCATAATTTTTTAAAAATATATTTCAAGGACAGAACTGTCCAGCTTAATTTGGCATGTACTAGTATGTATGAATTTTTAAATAATCATGTTTTGGTTCACATTATTTTTTAATAATAATAGCAGAAATTTCTACATTACAGGGAAAAGTGTGAAAAAAAAGTCTTATGCCAACTTCAGGGCTAAAAATATATTGGGGATTTATGGATTAGAACTCATTTAATCATACTTGTGGCATAGGTGTAAAACGGGTTATGTAACTTGTGGTCACGTGTAGTCTTTTGCTGCTCCTTCCATGGTCCATTAAAGTGTTAGAACCCCATCAAGTTTTCTGTCTGTAGGTGGTCCCCAGCCTGATAGTTGATGCTGGATTCATCCTCACAGTCATGGAAGTTGAGCACCACACATAGAGTGGGATAAAATTGCAAATGCAAAAGCTCAAACTAACAATGTAGTTTAAATTCTGAAAGTATGCAAAGCTACCTGGGATGATTACAGCAATTAGTGATAACCAGTCATCATACATTTTTAATAGTTAATTAAAATTAGTGAGCAAAGTGCTGTTGCAGATTCCAGAGTGGTAGCTGATCTAGTTTTTTCCTCAGCTAATTTTGAGCCATTTCCACAGCTCTGAGTGTATTATGGCCTCATTTTTATGTTAGAGTGTGGTTGTCACATGAATGAATTTGATGGTGTACAGTACTGCTGGCATAAAGAAGGAAAAGGCCTCTTCTACTACCATATAAATTCCAGATTATCTGCTTTGAACTAGATTGTATGGCAGTCTGGATTCATATAAATTTTGTTATTATCATTACTATTATTATCCAGTTCAAAGCAGATAATGCGAATCATCTGATTTGATAATCTGGATTATATGGCAGTGTAGAAGGGGCCTCAGCTACTGAACTGCTTTCCTCCTCATGAATACTATTCCACATTCATCATTCTGTAATCCACATATAATCCATATCCAACAAAGTGGGGTTTCGTCTATAGGCGTTTATGGAAGGACTGCAGGGAAGGAACTGACAAAGGAATGAAGGAGGAGAAACTTGAGATGTAGATTGAGAGCAATGTCTTTAAACCCAATTTGTTTTGAGTTATAATTTTTAAGGAGGTATCTGATTACTTTTTCCAGTAAATTTGATGGAATGCAATTTTACCTCTTATCTTAAAAAAAAACTGGTTTGCATATACATTTCTGAATTCATAAACCATGACTTATGAATCCAGGAGTAATAATCTGACTAATCACTTCTCTCATCCCACACATCCCTCAGATGCCAGCTTTAGTTTAAATATTCTGATATCCAATTTACAGGGATTATCTTAACTGATACTAAACTTTTTTAGGACAAACTAGGTCTTAGCACTACAGGTTGGAAGAGAAAAGGAAAGTCACACAAGGAAGAGTGTACAAGTCCAGGGATCATTCTCATTGTCATAAAATTTATGAGGCGGACTGAAACCTAGAGAAAGAAACCTAGTGTGTCCAATATGTATACTGAGTAGTATCTCAATCTCTTCTCGCGTTCAGGCAGAAGCTGTGTACCATAAAAACTCATCCATTCTTTAGGTGGGATAGGGGGTTTGTCGGGAACAACAAATACAGTCAGGTTAGACATTGTATTAGTATTCTGCATTAGTATACTGAGTCCCTTAGGGGAGATAGGGTGAGTTATAAATAAAGTTTATTATTATTATTATTACTCACAGTTGTTTGGCTTGCTTTCATCAGTAGTGCATTGAATTAATGTTTGGAATCTATGATATACTTGAAACGTGCTACATAGTTCTTCTCATAAAAGGATAGATACAAAATAGTTCCACTAAGAGGGGCAAGTGCTTCCACTAGAGGTTGGCCATAGAATTGTGTTGGCTGACTTTAAAATGCCTAGAGGACTATTCTTTCTAGGAATCTTTAGATTATTCTGTGTGACTCTGTTGAACTAGAGAGAACAAAGAGTCACACAGTCAAACCCACGCATAAACAAATCAGCAAGATGAACCTTGTTGAACTTGCTTTACATTTGCTTGAAAATGTGAACTTTTTCTGAGAGTGGTTTTTAAGCTAGGCTCACTGCTACGCTGGCAACATATTGACACTCTTTCTAAAAAAAGTATAGAATTGGTTCTTGCTTAAAAAGTTAAAAGGAGGTTATGTTTTCTATGCTTACATCAGACATGCAGTGCAATCAATATATATATTTACACAGAAGCAAACCCTGTTGTGCTTAATGAGGCTTACTCCATAGCAAGCATATTGATTGTTGTGCTGTTGGAAAAGACTGTGTTTTTCTGTCTTCCTTACGGTTTTTTTAGAGTTGTTTCACGATTATAGCTCCAGGGTATTCCCTTTTGTAGTAGATGGCAAGCTGTGGACATGCAGAGTTTTGGAATGCCCCTTATCCTTTGTCCTTGGTTTATTTATTTGCTTTATTTCTATACCGCATTTTTCAGCCCTTAACAGGTATAGTTGCCTAAGGGAACACACAGGCAAAAGGTTCTGTTGAAAAGTAGAAATGAGACTTATCTTTAAATATATTATAAAGTAGAATTAATTTGCATGAGTATTAATATGAACAAAGGCCGAACAATCCATGTTGTGTATAAAGCATGCATTAAGCAAATTTGTGAGATTTTGATTAATTTGATTAAACTTTATAAAAATCCACCCACTGGAAGCCTTATGAACCTTTAATAGCTCTTTCCTTTTGAGCTGTCCAGGGTGCTTTCTCTTTCCAAAAAATACATATCAAATCCTGTAGCAATTTGTGCAGAGAAGTGATAAAATGCCTGAGTGAAAGTGTTGAGGTTATAAAGAATATGGGCCCCACATACCCTCCATGCCCTTAAGATGTTCTTCCAGCACTTTCAATGCTACTAAAAGCATTAATTCAGTTTTTTCAAATACCAGTTCTAACCGTTGTGATTGTACTGTCAAATTTGCAGATGTGTTGATAGCATGCCTGGGAAACTGAATGGCAATATTATAAATCAAACCCAATTCATTGTATTATTTAAAAGCCATAAAAAGAAATGGAAGATTTATCTTTTTTTTTTGTATTTTTTAAATGAAACTTTAAGTGCTGTATGGCCACAATTTTCAGTATTTCTTCAGATTCAGAGAATTGTGTGCAATATTGAAGTTCACTGTCTGAAAGACAATTAAAAGAAATGTTGGAGTTTTGTGTGGTTTCTGGGCAGGATGTCCGTATTCTGGCAGCATTTTCTCCTGATGTTTCCCCTGCATCTGTGGATGGCATTAATCTGAAGATGCCAGCCACAGATGCAGGGGAAACATCAGGAGAAAATGCTGTTAGAATATGGCCATCCAGCCCAGAAACCACAACACTCCAGTGATTCCAGCCAAAAAGGCCTTCAACAAAACAAAAGAGATGTTGTATCCCTGTTTATGATAGTTTTTAATTGAATTGTAACAGAAGCCTAGGATTTTACAGTACTTTGTAGTATTTTTTTTTACTATATGGGAATTTTTAGACTGTTTTAATTTAATTTAATGGTAATTGTAATGTCCTACAAGGAAGTATTTATGTAACCAATTTGCTTTATCAATGGTTTTATATTATATTGTATGTTTTAATGATGTTATAAGCTGACTTGACTCTGCAAGAAAAATGGCATAGAAATTCCCTAAGTAAAGAAATAGGGGAAAAAATTGAACAATTAGAATTTTATATCAATGGACCATGACAGAAAAATCTCTCAGCACCCAACTTAATAGAATCTTGTGAGTTGCATGTTGTTGTTGGAGCCAAGAAAATTAATGTGTTTTGTCCACAACATATGATGTATAAATACCATTAAGAAAAAAATGAAAAAAGTGTATTTGATTTGTCTTTTGCTTTGTCAATGCAACACAGAATATTAAATATATCTAAAGATGAAAAGGAAAGTGGCAGGAGCTGGGAGGCTTAGGCTTAGCCCCAATGAAGAAGCTCAGCTGTTGAAAGAAGAGCATGAAAGAAGAAGAAAATTGAGGCTACAGCAGGTATGTTTGCTTTATTGGAATGCTTGGGCAGTTGAATAAGCAGATTTCCAAATTGTCATGTGGCATGACTAATGTTGAGCCACCATGTGACAAGTATGCTAAACCTCATGCTTTCTCCCTGTATTGGCCATACCAAATTGAATCGGTTTTAGAGCAGAATAAACCTTTCAGTTGTGCAGTGTCTCTATCCCAAAGTTGAGAGAAATACTAGATATTGTTTTGCTGCTATGTTGCCAAGAGACCATAATTCATTCAGTCACACAGACTCCCAAGAAGCTGGCTCTCACACATGCACACACATTTTCTAAGTACGCAACAGGACTGGGTGGCAGAGATTTCTTTCATAGCTATATTATTGCATTATGAATCTATTCTGCAAGCATCAAAGATCCTACCAATCTCTAGTTTCAGTTATAGAACCAGAAATATTGTGAAGGGAATACAACATTTATTCTGATCAATATAGATTTGATAAGTAAGGAGAAGGGCAGGGTTATATGGAAGATGTAACCTTGGGCTTGCTAATAATAATAATAATAATAATAATAATAATAATAATAGTCAGTTTTACACATTATATTATTTACACTGATATGTGTGGCAAAGAAAGCTAATATAATTATTTATGATGCTTTATTTAGGTTTTATGTCACTATAATTTTGTTTAATTTATTAACATTAGGTTTTAATGTTTTCATATGTGGTTGATTCTGTATTATTTTGTTGGTTTATTTTGGATTTTGTTTTATTGTGGCATTTAATGTTTCCCCTTTTGTATGTTGGACCACGAGATGATCCAGCCAGTTCATACTCCAGGAAATAAAGCCTGACTGCTCACTGGATGGAAGGATATTAGAGGCAAAGATGAAGTACTTTGGCCACATAATGAGAAGACAGGAAAGCTTAGAGAAGATAATGATGCTGGGGAAAATGGAAGGAAAAGGGAAGAGGGGCTGACCAAGGGCAAGATGGATGGATGGTATCCTTGAAGTGACTGGCTTGACTTAGAAGGAGCTTGGGGTGGTGATGGCCAACAGGGAGCTCTGGCATGGGCTGGTCCATGAGGTTACAAAGAATCGGAAGTGACTGAATGAATAAACAACAACATGTTGGAATCTGCCCTGAGATGCCTTGGGGAGATGGGGCGGAATATAAATGAAGATTTATTATTATTATTATTATTATGATTAAGTAATGTTGGCAGACTTATCAAGAAATTGGAGTTAGTCATTCTAGTCAACTTGACTTAAACACAGCATTTCTTTTAGTGCCTCTTGAATTGGCATGATATTTTGCAGGAGTGCCACTTGCTTCTGCTACAGTATGGCTTGAAAAACGATCTGCCGTTTATGTCTGTCATTTTCTTTTTCTTGGCCACTTTTACTTTGTTGCTAAAGTTGTATTGCAAGCTGTGGATGGACATAGAAAACCAAGCACAAGATGCATTCTAACTCAGTTTAGGTAACAAGAATAATGGATTCAAGTAGAACAGCAGTTGGAAATTAGGAGATAACCTTTTTAAAAATACAAAACCTGTATTTATTTATTTACTATATTTGTATTCTGCTCTTCTCACCCCAAAGGGGACTCAGAGCGATTTACAGTAGAGGAACCACCTCACCTCAAAAAGTTTCAGGAAAGAAAGGAAAACTGCACAATATGTTGATGGCATTCAGCCCTGGAAAATAAGAGCTGCACAAACGTACATACAATAAAAAAATTAAAAAACATACACATTTAAGACCAAAAAGTTAAAAGCATCTTAATATTAAAACCAATTATTAAAACCTTGCAATCCAAATCATAGCCCGAAGCCATTCCTATCATAATTGCACTATTGTGTATTCTTATTGCTCTGTAAAATTACTGTCCAAAAGCCTGAATCTACAGCCACATTTTTAATTTCTTTCTGAAATTCAGGACGGAGGGAGCTGATCTAATTTTGCTGGGAAGGGAGTTCCACAGCCAAGGAACCACCACTGAGAAGGCCCTATGTGTTGATAAGTACTGTTGATAAGTACTGTTTTTCTTCCAGGTTAGAGAGCAGGAGAGAAATATTGCTCTACAAATAAGGCAAGATGTGAAACAACGGAGAGATGAGGAGCTGAATAATTTGGCAGAAGAACTGAAGGCAGAGTGGCAAAAAGCACAAGAGGAGAAGATTAAAGCTTTGGAAAAGCTCTATTTGTCAAGCTTGAGAGCTATAGGAGAAGGACATAGACAGGCAAAGGAAAATGTAGGTAAATGTTTAAAATATTATTGCAACAATGAAGGCTATCCTGCAAATACTAAAAATACCTTACAACCTCTGTATCCGCAAAGGATGTGTTCCTGGGCTTTGTGTGAATATGTGAAACTACAAATATTAAGAAATTTTATTGAAATGAAGGCCTTCTGGCCAAAAATACCAGCGTTGTCGGTAGACACCTCCAAGGTCATGTGGCCAGTATATCTGCATGGAGCGCCATTACCTAAAATAATAATACATTTATTATTTCACTCCTATTTATTATTGTAATTACATTTATTATTATACTCTTGTTATTATTACATTTATTATTTTACTCAATTATTATTACATTTATTACTTTATTCTCTTATTACTGTTACTATATTTCCATTATTTTACTCTATCCTTATTATTATTACATTTATTATTTTACTCTCTTTGTTATTGGAACAATACGTAAGCACATTTACATTGAAGGTTACAATAATGATTTAATTAGAATTGGACAGTCTTATCTTAAATTACAGTTTTATGTAAATATTCAAAAACATTTAACCTACTGATGACTCAATTATTGGTATCTATTTTTATTTTGAAATTTACCAGTAGTTTCTGCATTTCCCACCCTTGATTTATACTCGAATCAATACGATGCCTTAGCTTATATTTGGGTTGGCTTATACTGAAGTATATACGGTATATTAAATTTGAATGCAATCCAAAAATTTCAAAGATACTTTTTAATAGAACATGGGTAAGGATTACATCATGATAGTTCAATTCTCATAGAAGTTTACCCAGAGTAAAAAAAAATGTGTGTTGAACTAATGATTCAGTCTATGTATTATAAGAATGAACAGATAAGTACAGTCCCTTATCTTATTACATTTATTATTTTATTCCAAAATCAAAATTTTCCACATTGCTGATTGGAATAGTAACACCTTTGGTTTCTCATAGTCTCACATTCTATGGTCCTTTGGTCTGGCAAAATTCCTGTGGAAATTAAACTTGAAAACTAAGGTTAATGGAAGGAAAAGTTTTACCTTGGAATTCCCTTTCTGTCTTGAAGAAGGGTGGTGTGTGTGTATGTATAAAAATACATCAGATTAAGAAAGCAAATATATTAATCATGCAATACATCGTAAACTTTTTGAAACACAGTTGTTTTTTTAAAAAAATGTTAGGAATAATTTTGTTATGCTGCAGCAATTGAACATGCATTTTATTTTAAAGGAACCTGATTTGGAAGCACTGGCAAAGCAAGCCGAGGAAAGGAGGAAAAAGGCAGAAAAAAGACACGTGGAAGCATTGAAGGAGCTGAAAAATCAAAAAGAGAGGCTGCTGAAGGAACAAGCAAGGTAAGAGTTCTGATCTATCTATAAATGTATGTTTTGCTGCTTTAATACGTTAAAAGGATCCATACATAGGTTAGAGGAATAGTGGGCTGTCATAGCTAGAGTATAGGACCAGGACATAGTAGATCCTGGTTTCATGACCCACTGAGCCATAGAACTCTTTAAGTGAGATTTGGCCATTAAATCTCTCTCAGAGAATATTGCACTAGAAAAAAATGGTGAGGCATTTGGTTTCAAGACCTCATGTGCATAGCAAAAAAACTGATGCCGAAATAAAATATTGTGGGGCAAATGTGTCTCTGCAACTTCACCAATACAGTAGTGTTAATACTATACTACTGATGATGCATAAAATATTTTATATTGTGTTATATATGGTACTGTAGTTTGAATTCATGGTTGATTTTAATCCATCGATCCTGAGCCCCACAGATACGGCAACCTGCTGTACTAAAATGTACTTGAAACCTATGAAACATGAAACAAACATGTAGGTATATGTTGTTTCTAACTCATGCCTCATCAATAGCAAATGTGCATGTAGTTATTTCCTTAGAGCCCACTGATTAATCTGTGACTAAATTGTTTATGATTAATCTTTGTGGTTAATCTATATCCAATCAGTTTTTGTTGATCAAATTTTGAGAACAATGAGCAATATAATGTAGACTGAATGATATGCCTGGCAATAACAATTCAAGCCTCCTGTAGATGTGAAAGCTTTCTTATCAAATTGAGTGTTTACATTATGTGAAGGAAGAAGTATTACCATATATACTTGAGTATAAGCTGACCCAAATATAAGCGGAAGCACTGAATTTTACCACAAAAACCTGGGAAAATGTTTGGACTCGAATATAAGCTGAGGGTGGGAAATTTTTTTCCTCCTCTGGTTTAAAACTTGCTTCTTTGGCTGAGCTGAGGCCAGGGACCAGAAGTGGGGAAAAGCTTAATCATTTCCGACTCACTTCATGAGTTCATTGTTCAACAGCCATGAGTTGTAACAAAAATGGCGGAAAAGGCTTTGGAAGGGCAAAGAGACTTCCCATTTTCTTAAAAACTTCAAAATTGCTTCAAAAGGGGAATTTTTCTGACTTTTTTTCCGAATTACAAAGATTCTGACGGTACCCAACCATGCCTAGGCAGTAGTGGTGAACTAAATAGTCCAGCCAGAGAAGAATGGGAGGGAAAGAGAAAAGAAATCCTAAGTTTAAGAAAGAAGCAGTGGTAGTGGAGAGCTTTCCCTCAAAATGTATCTACTTTGTTGAAAGAGCAGCACACTGTTGCTTACCGTATTTATTGCTCTGAAGTATCATTGATGAATATCTCAACTGTGCCCAAGTTCTAAATTCCGGATTATAAGCAGTGGTTTTCCTATTGGTCTGCATTGTTGCTAGGGAAGCAGTGGGAAGTGACTTGACAAAGAGAGCAGAGAGCAAACAACAGCCCAGGGGATGAGGATTGCAGGTGTATGGCTGCTTGTCAGTGATGTTTTGGGTAATGGAAGTATGTTCCATTAAGTTTAGTGGGACTCTGCATAATATTGCAGACCTGATAGCATTTTGCCTCTGTAGGAGTCTTAACCTTCTTAGTTGTATCATTTGCATAAATGAAGCTATCCCTTTTCATGAAGATTGAAACGACCCCATGAAAAAGCAAAATAATAATAATCCCAAACAGTGTTGAATATGTTTTGGAAAAAATACCACGGCAAAGCCATACTTTGTATTTGCCTTTTTGTCACCTGGTTTAATTTTCCTCGAAATTTAGGGATGAAATAAAAACAGTGGATCACTTGGTTTTGCTGTGTGTGATTTAGACTTTTCTACAGTGCAATTTGAATGTTTCGTTTCTTTTTGTCCCTCTTCTTTCTAATCAAGGAGAGCAAATGCACGGAGGCATGCATTCAACGTGGAAAAAGAGAGAGCTGCTAAAATAGCAAGCCTCCCCCCTCCTCCCCCTCCCCCTTTTGAAGTGAGTATTGTTTCTTAAACTTGTAAAGGAGGCTGAAAATTTAGTTAATCAAAATTTTATTTTATTTTTTTCGTGTCAGGAGCGACTTGAGAAACTGCAAGTTGCTTCTAGTGTGAGAGAATTGGCTGTCTGGAAGGACGTTGCCCAGGGGATGCCAGGATATTTTGATGTTTTACTATCCTTGTGGGAGGCTTCTCTCATGTCCCAGCTTGGGGAGCCGGAGCTGACTGAGGGAGCTCCTCCGCGCTCTCTCCAGATTCGAACCTGCGACCTGTCGGTCTTCAGTCCTGCCAGCAAAAGAGTTTAACCCACTGTGCCACCAGGGGTTCAAAATTGAATCTCATGGTATTTAGTCAATATAACATTTTTTAGGGTTATGCCAATTTTAACGGATTACTCTTGGTTGACCTTGAGATATCATCAGAAACAGAGTTGATGTGATTCTGATTTATTTTTTTGCCAGATTAATGATGTACATGTGACTCAGTACATTACGTGATAAGCATTATAATTAATTAATTATTATGGACATGCAAACATGTGAATTCTAGCAAGGGAATAGATGCTCCAGATTATTATATTCATGGATTCCAATTAGAGAAGCATTAGTTGTAATCCGTTCAGTTGAAAATTTTTGAATGGGTTATACTAACTTAATTCAATGGGCTTTAAGCATGATTAATTTGGGTCAGAGCCTGACATTTCAGCTAGTCTGCTATTTGGCAATTATTCACACCATGTTATTCCCACTTCTCTAAAATTATATGTTGGATTGAATATCCTTGTAGAATTATATTTCTGGTCAATTACTTGAGAGCTTTTGAAATGAATGTGCTATAATGGCTAAAAATATGTACTGTCAGTTGAAAAGTCCGCAATTAATGCTGATCTGGGCAATCAACTCTTTAGGAAGCTTTTGACAAACCATTATTTTTTGGCCTACACTTTTGATTTGCACTGGGGGTTAATAGTAGTGGCCTGGCTAACTCAGTAGCTGTTATGAGGATAATTGAGGGAATATATATATAGTGCTTTGAATGCGCTAAATGACTAGATATGCATTTTTAATTTTTTTACTTATGTTTTTATAATTCTTTGTAAATTGTAAAAAAGAAAGGCTTGTACTGTATGTGTTCATATAATATTGTAAATGGGAATACTATATAGAGAGAAAATGTGAAGTTCCTTAGAACATGGTGATTTTTTCTTATTTTCTTTCACTCTGCTCATTAACATATTGTTGTCATACTTACTACTGTAAGGTCAAATTTCAGCAAGTTACTTCTGACATTGTACTGTTTGGTTTTATATTCAATTTATATTTGAATGCTCTGTATAGTTTTCATTCTTGTTTTGCATAATCCTAATTAAAGTAACTTTATTCTTGATAAACCAATTCATTTTTATTTATTTATTTGTTTTAGAATATTGACCTAAAACCTACCTCCGCAGTGAAAGTCTGCGATGTTGACACTTTTTCAGTTACTCACCATCATCTCTTTGGTCCACATGTGGATAGAGAAATGGACACAGAACAGGTGATTGACTTTATAAATGTGTGTGTGACAAGTTCTATTGTGGAACAGAACAAACAACTTTGCATCTGTATGCTTGTCCACAATGTCCTGCCTCAAGTACAGAGGAAGAATTGTTGAAAGATACAAACAATGCGGTCTCTATTGCCCGTTTTTGGTCAAAAAATATTTAGCTGCTTTTGCTCTTTCTATTTTTACCAGTTTTGTGCTTACTTATGCAGTGATTTTGATACAAAATAAATAAATACAAAAACAACTTCTACTTAATAACCATGTATATCCTAAGACAGCAGTTCCCAAACTGTTTTAACAGCACCTTAAAAGTAACGGTTTCACCTGGCATGAAGTCCAGTCGTGTCCGACTCTGGGGGTTGGTGCTCATCTCTATTTCTAAACCAAAGAGTTGGTGTTGTCCGTAGACACCTCCAAGGTCATGTGGCCAGCATGACTGCATAGACCGCCATTACCTTCCCACCGGAGCGGTATCCATTGATCTCAGATTTGCATGTTTTTTAACTGCTAGGTTGGCAGAAGCTGGGGCTAACAGTGGGAGCTCACCCCACTCCCCAGATTCAAACCACCAACCTTTCATTCAGCAAGTTCTACAACTCAGCGGTTTAACCCACTGCGTCACCAGCGGGCCCAGCACCCCAGGGTTCTGCGAAAGCATCATAAGGATTCCACAATAAATTTTTATTTTTTTAAGTCCATACTGGAGTATGAAGATCTTACTGAAATTAAGTGTGCCTCTGCTTTAAACACAAAATTTCAATCTCTTTATTTCCAAACTTACTATATTATGCAAAAAACAAAACAACAACAACCCCAAAACAACATAGGCAATTAGAGTAGATGAAATAAGGAAAAGCCCTGAAGGTTAACAATTCTTAGGGACAATGTTATTGAAAATCAGGGACTTAAGAGTTATGGGTCCATGGGAGAAAAAGTCTTCTGAAGGTCTCCATAACTGAAAAAGTTTGCCTAAGGGCCCTTCCACAGAGCCCTATATCCCAGAATATCAAGGCAGAAAATACCACAATATCTGCTTTGAACTGGGTTATCTGAGTCCACACTGCCATATATTCCAGTTCAAAGCAGATATTGTGGCATTTTCTGCTTTGATATTCTGGGATATAGGGCTGTGTGGAAGGGCCCTAAGAAAGTGCACCTACTAGGTTTTTGCTGTCAGATGTGTGTGTGTGTGGGGGAGCACATGGGGTTGTAATAGTCTTTTTTGCCTTTGGGTCATTAACAGTGGGAATCCCAACTTGCTTCTAAAGTATGAACCTTCATGTTATTTTTTGTGGGTATTGAAATCACAAATATAATACTTGTAACTGTGGTACAGAAAGAAGCGTTGATAAGACATTGATACAGGGACCTACTTAAAAAATTGATTTTGTGCCCACAGTGAGCTGGATGCATCACTGAACTCAGATAAGAAGTCCTCATGTTTCTAGTTAAGACTGCTGGTAAAGCAGGCAAAGACCCGCTTCTATCACGCCAAGCTTTTCTTGTTACTATGCTTATCTGTAGGGAATTATGCTTAGCTCTCTAGCCAGAAACAACCTCTGTCTGTAGTGCCAAACCTTGTTATAATTTTCTCACAACATGTATTCTTTTGGCTGAACGTTGAGCAAAGACATCGGTCATAAGCCATAATGCTCAAATTGGTCCCTTGGAGGTCATTACGGTGTTTTGAGACACTTTGCCAAACTTCACACAAATTATTGATTTGCTTTCCGTTTATGCATGTTGGGAACCTAGTTTTGCTGACTTGTTTCTGGTTGGTTGCCAGCCAGATGCTCGGTTACTTGCTGAAGATGAAGCCAAACAGATAAAAGTACTGCAAAATAACAAAGAAAGGGAAAGGAGGGAACGTCTGGAAAAAGCCCGTCTGAGAGGAAAGCATGCCTTGAAGATGGTTCGTTTAACCCAAGTAAGTAGAGTAGTAACCAATTTGAAAAGTGAATTGTGTTGTACATATAATAAATGAATTGAGAGTAAAATATTCTATCCTCTTACTTTGAGTTTACACCTTAGCTTGCTCATGGTGCTTACCCTGTGTCTGGGCACAATGTTTTTAAACATTACAGTCGGACTTCACATTTGTCGGGGTTAGGGTTATAGGACTCCTGCAAAAATGGAAAAACCTTGATTATTGTAAGCCCTCTCAAACATTCATGCAACAGGTTCTGTTCAACAGCACCAATCCATTACTTTCTTTCTCGCCCTGTCATCAGGATGCCTCAGACAGATTTTTTTCACCCAATGTCTATCCCCTCAATTCTCCTCTAAATTCTGCCTTCCGAAAGAACCAGCCATATCTCAAACTGCTTTCCAACCCATTGGTCACCTCATCCCATGCTTCTCAATTCAGTCTTCTGTCCTTAGAAAAGCCCCAGCCAGCATTAAAATCTTTTTTCTACAGAAAATTAAGGACCTGAGTAAGTAAGAGAGTCTTTGTAGTGGAAAAGAAGCAGATAGAGGACTAACTATCCCTTCTTGGTAAAAAGGTAAAGGTTTTCCCCTGATATTAAGTCCAGTCGCTTCTGATTCCGGGGGTTGGTGCTCATCTCCATATCTAAGCCGAAGAGCTGGTGTTCTCCGTAGATACCTCCAAGGTCATGTAGTCGACATGACTGCATGAAGCACCGTTACCTTCCTGCTGATTAATCTACTTGCATTTGCATGTTTTCGAACTGCTGGCTTGGCAGAAGCTGGAGCTAACAGTGGGAGCTCACACCATTCCCTTCGATCGAATCTGCAATCTTTCAGTCTGCAAGTCTGGCAACTCAGTGCTTTAACCCACTGCGCCACCAGGGGCTCCCTAACCATCCCTCCAGAAGACAACTTGGGAGCAACAACCAAGAAGGCTCTTTCTCCTGAAGATCTTAAAATCAAATAAGGTCATAGAAGCAAGTTCATGCTTCAATGTAGGCAGTTTTGAAATTCAAAGGCAAGACTTTGATGAAAAACACTTTAACATGTGTGAATGGGTGATTAACTGATTCATTATATGGCTGGGGTTTTTTTTCGTGCCAGGAGTGACATGAGAAACTGGAAGTCTCTTCTGGTATGATAGAGTTTTACCATCCTTGTGGGAGGCATTTCTCATGTCCCCACATGGAGATCTGGAGTTGACAGAGGGAGCTCATCCATGCTCTCCCCAGATTTGAACCTCCGACCTGTCGGTCTTCAGTTTTGCTGGCACAAGGGTTAACCCATTGCGCCACCAGGGGCTCATATATGGCTGGTAACTATTTCAGAGTGAAATAAGCACTCGATCTGTTGTAAAGAAGAGCATCTGGTTTTGGTTTTTTTTTCGTGTCAGAAGCGATTTGAGAAACTGCAAGTTGCTTCTGGTGTGAGAGAATTGGCTGTCTGAAAGGACATTGTCCATGGGATGCCAGATGTTTTACCATCATGTAGGAGACTTCTTTCATGGGAAGCTGGAGATGACAGACAGGAGCTCATCCCGTCTTTGAATTCTAATCACTGGCCTTTATATATGGGAATGATGTTGTGTTAAGTTTGGGAAAATACATTTGTTTAGGTTGATATATATGATTTATTTATAGGTCTTTGCGTGTAATGGTTTCAGCAGGAATGTAATGGTTGGATCTAGCCTGCCAAAAGTGAAGGGAACTTGCAGAAGGATACTTCACTTCATTCCTGAAATAGCTTTCTGGAGTGTTTTCCCCACCCAATTTGGATCAATTCCACTCTTCCTTGTAGTTTGTATATGTATATATATATATATATTGTGAAGAAGGGCGCTATAGCTTCCACTTAATTTTCAGAATGCCCATGACCCAAAATAATTTCTTAATTTTGGGGAAAATATACAGCACACAAGCAGTCCTGAAAGTAGGGGAAGGGCATGTCTGCAGCTGGACCTTTTTTCTGTGTTTAAAGGACCGGGAAAAGTTAATGAAAGAGCTTGAACAGATGCAAATTATGGACCTTGCTCGCAGAAGACAGATTGTTGCCCAGATGCCTCCTCAACTGTTTGAACCAGGCTACAGGCGAGTTGAGCTCAAGGAAGAATGGCAGAGGGAGCTGGAGTGTGCCTTTGAAGACATGTATACTGGGGACAGGAGTGAGTATTACTCATTGAGAAGATAAAGTGAAATTTTGGCTTCCTGGGCATAATTTTTGTGTGTCTTGGGTGCTTTCTGTGTTGTATGGTCAGTTCATGGAAAGCAACTGTGTATCCTGCAGACTTGGCAAGTATGTTTGAACACATACACTGGTACATAAACTCAAAACCTCTACTATGTAAAGTTACTCTGTAGCAAAGTTCAGGGGTTCTTCAACAGACAATTTACTGTGGAAAGCATTTGGCCAAGACAGGAGGAGTGAAAGGGTACTGAGATAAGATCAAATATATGCGTAGTTTTAAAAAATAGATATTTGTTATATTTAGAAGTAGGAAGCATTCATAATAAAGTTATTTGTGTCATTTTAGGTCTACTCTGTAGTCACTAGATTGCAGCTCATAGTTGATTTTGTTTCCTCGTGGATAATGAAGGACTTTAAATAGTATTCCAGTTTAAGATCTGCATGGATTTTCTAAATCAGTACTGCCTAAGCCAACTAATTAGTGGACCAGCTGTTTTCCTCTCAGTGTTTCAGGGATTGTCAACCTATTTGTGCTCATTGACTGCAGTTATTTCTTTGGGTTGCTGTGAGTTTTCTGGGCTGTATGGCCATGTTCCATAAACACTATCTCTTGATGTTTTGCCCACATCTATGGCAGGCATCCTCAGAGCTTCAGGGGTCTGTTGGAAATGTCAAGGGTGGAAGAAAGAACTCTTGTTTGCAAATGAATATTGCAAATGGCCAAGTTGACTAGCATTGACTGGCCTTGCAGCTTCAAAGCCTGGCTGGTTGCTGCTTGGGGAAATCCTTTGTTGGGTGATGTTAGCTGGTCCTGATCAATTCTTTTCTGGAATTCTCCTGTTTTTTGACTGTTGCTCAAGCAGACAAGAGTTCTTTCTTACACCCTAGGCATTCCACAGATATATAAATCTCACTTACCTAGTTTCCAACAGACCCTTCAACCTCTGAGGATGCCTGCCATAGATGAAAGTGAAATGTCAGGAGAGAATGCTTCTGGAACATGGCCATGCAGCCCAGAAAACTCGCAAGAACCCAGTGATTCCATCCATGAAATCCTTCGACAACACAATTATTTCTTTCTTTCCTGGAAACTTTCCAGGAAGAGTAAGCAGTTCATAGATTACCATTCTGAGTAGCCACCTGTTGTAGAAAACAGATAAATTAGGTTTGTGATTTTTTAAAAATAGTAGTCTGTGTAGTTTTTTTAAAAATATACCTTTGTATTTTAGCTTTCAGTCTAGATTGTAATGGCTTTAATGCATTTTTCTTCTATCAGGCTGTACCCCACTCTCCTTATGCTGGTCTATCACTGTAATAAAGAAAGATTTGATTTGATTAGGTTTGTGTTTGAAATTATATATAAGATGAATTTTGACAACAGTGTGGTTCACATGATGATTGCATTTAGCAAGTGACTAAATCTATCAGAAGCCTGAAGCTTTCATTAGAAGTTATCTCTCTGTTAGTATAATTTTAGCCTGAAAGTGGTAATGATCTATGGCAAGGGAAACAATTGTTCTTCAAAGACTTGTGTTGCTTTACTTGTAGTGTAATATATTACAAATACTCAGATAAAACCTGTAGTGTAATATATTGCAAATACTCATAGATAAAACCTGTAGTGTAATATATTACAAATACTTGTAGATAAAGCAATGCAGTTTGTTTTTAAGAGAAGACAATATTATAAATAAATAGTAAATAAAGCTTTATTTATATCCCTCCCCCTCTCCCATTGGGGACTCGGGGCAGCTTACAACAATAAAAAACCAAGAACATTAAGCAGTATAAGAATCAGATTTATTCCTAGAAATCTTTCTCTGTAGTTAGAGTTTACAATTCAGATTATTGTATGTTACTTTCATGCGACTCAACTTTTTTACACAGAAATGCAAGGAGACCTTATTTTGCACCTCGATCCACAGCCCTTGCCAACCCTCTCTGATCGATCTCAAGATGATGAATTGGAACTCTCTCAGGAACCGGACTCTGTATGCGAAGGGCCATCAATACCAGGGGATGAGATCAAGGACAGTGAGCCAAGTGGTAAGAGAAATTTGTAATTTATTGACAACAGTCACTGATGTTGCCGAGAAACACCAATGCATGTCAGTTGTGACCAGTAGTGAGTACTTTGTAAAATAGTCTAAACATTAATATTGAAACATATTTGTGTAGATTTTTGTGCAGTGCAGGTTTTCTACACTGTGATGTTATTTTTTTTTTTTTAGGCAGTAAAGTAGAAAAGACATCCCAATCTCAATCAAACCTAGCTCTAAAAAAGCTGCTAAACAAGATCAAGAACCAAAAAGACCACTGGACATCAAAAGAGAAGCCAGAGGCTCCAAGTGAAATTGGATCAATAGAGTCAGGAACCATTTCTAATAGGGAGAGAAGGCTGTGTGAATCAGAACCTGAGGCTGAACCAAAAGATGCTCTTGTTTCTGAAGCCAAGGGTAAGAAAATGGGACTTTCTGCAATTAGGTTTTGAAACTGAATATAATCTGGGACAAGTATTAAAAGAATTTGTCAGTCCAGGTAGTTTTAATGCTTAAACAACAGCAGTTCCTTATGTAGCATCATAATTGACTTCTGAAATTTTCCCATGACAAAAATGTTTTTTGATATAGCTAAAAGGATTGCGGGACAAGTGGCCGGCATAAGAGATACTCAGATTGAACATATATATGATATGTCTACTTTTCCACAGCCCTGGGACTCCCAAGCAGCCTAAAAAAGTTAAAATAAGGTAAAGGTTTCCCCTTGACATTAAGTCTAGTCGTGTCCAACTTGGGGTGTGTGTGTGTGTGTGCTTATCTCCATTTCCAAGCCGAAGAGGCAGCGTTGTCTGTAGACTCCTCCAAGGTGAAGTGGCTGGCATGACTGCGTGGCACGACATTACCTTCCCGCAGAAGTGGCTATTTATTTATTCATATTTGCATGTTTTCAAACTGTTAGGTTGGCAGAAGCTGGGGCTAACAACAGGAGCTCCCCGAATTTGAACGCCTGACCTTTTGATTAGCAAGTTCAGCAGCTCGGTTTAAGCCACTGTGCCATTGGGGCTCCACAGTTAAAATAGCTACTAACTAATAGTATATATCATAAAAATAAAAATATTAAACCATCAATAAAGTAATAAAAAACATGTCCATTAAAAAGAAAAGCAGTAAGTACAGACAAGGCAGCATCAATGAAGGCCTTATCCCATTAGGAATCAGTCTTCAAAGACCTGCCAAAACAAAAAAGTTGCTATCTACCTATAAGAATAATAACAAAGAGAGTGACAGTCTAGTTTCTCTAGGGCTCCTTCTAAACTGCCATATAAAATCCAGATTACCTGATTTGAACTGGATTATATGGCAGTGTAGAGTCATGTGATCAAGTTCTGGATTATCTAATTTAATAATTTGGATTATCTGCTTTGATGAACTGGATTATATGGCAGTGTAGAAGGGGCCTAGAATATGATTTCCAGAGCCTGAGAAGTGCAATTGAAAAGAAGACCATCTCCTGAGCTCCTGTGAAGGTATGAAGTAAAGGGTGTCATCTGAAGATCTAAAAAGATGGGCAGGCTTATCCAGTATGTGGGCATGTGGTTTGTCAGATTGCCTTGGAACTAAACAATTTATGCAATCTTTGTGGTCCATTTAGGCCCCTTCTACACAGCTGTATAAAATACACATTGAATTGTATTATATGGCAGTGTGGACTCCGATAATCCAGTTCGAAGCAGATATCTGTGCATGAGGCAGAGTACTGTGGGCAAGCATACAGATGCGGAGTTGTTTGTTCTGCTCAAGTCACACAAGGTGGAGGATTCTTTTAGGTAGTGCCATTTTGCCAGGTTGTCTTTTGACCTGCCCACCCCACTTCTGAGTCTGTTCAGGGACCTCCAAGTTACCCATTCTTGGCTTGTACAACACATTAAAGTAATTCATATGGAATGAAACTAAGACGTGGTTGAACCCAGCATCTCTAAGAATTGATGCAGCTGGTATTCAGCTGAGCAAAAGGACTTGCCTATGAAAGTTTTCAAGCTCTCGGTGTTGAATTCAGAATTTCACCAAAGTTGCAGGAAAGTGTCTTCCGGAGAAGAATAACTTTGTCCAGCACATGGTAAATCTAAGTTCCTGCTCTGTTTTCCTGCTGACCAAGAGTGTCTCTATCTTGTCTGAATGAAGCTTCAGTTTGTCTACCCTTATCCATTCCATTTTGGATGAGAGGCAGCAGTTTAGAACTGAAGCAGTTTGCATTAATGGAATAGCGTGTCATTCCTATCAACTGTTGGTTTATTCTATGAGCATTGTTTTTCAGTTATTCACATTCTCACAAAGATGACCCAACTGTACTCAATTTATTATTTGTTAAAGTTATATCCGTGTGCGTATGGTATTTCAGAGCTTCCGGAAACACTGGACCAAACTATTGTTGCTGGAAATGTGGCTCTAGATCATCCACAAGACGAAGCAGCTAAAATTAGACAGGAAACAGAAAAACAAAAGCAGGTATAGTTATTTTTCTCTCTATAATGATTATGTTTAATTGCAATTTTTGTAACATGTAATGTCATATCTAAACAATATCAGCTTTCACCATTGTTTCATTTCCAAACTATCACAAACCAAGACAATTTTAAAAATCAAATTATTTTTCCAGTTTATTTCTGGTTCCCCCCACTCTTCTTTCTTAACACACAAACTTGATGGTCCTAATAATCATGGTAATATTATCAGTAATGTGTAGTAAAATTGCTGTGAGTTGTATGGGTTGTGTGGCCATGTTCCAGAATCATTTTCTTCTGACGTTTTGCCCACATCTATGGCAGGCATCCTCAGAGGTTGAGGGATCTGTTGGAAACTAGGCAAGTGGGGTTTATGTATCTGTGGAATGTCCAGAGTGGGAGAAAAAACTCTTGTCTACTTGAGGCAAGTATGAATGTTACAGTTGGCCAGCTTGATAGCATTGAATGGCCTTGCAGCTTCAAAGCCTGGCTGGTTGCTACCTAGGAGGCTCCTTTGTTGGGAGGTGTTAGTTGGCCCTGATTGATTCTTGTCTGGAATTCCCCTGCTTTTTTTAAGTKCTGCTCTTTATTTACTGYTGTGATTTTAAAGTTGTTTTTTTTAAAAAAAAAAATACTGGTAGCCAGATTTTGTTCATTTTCATGGTTTCCTCCTTTCTGTTGAAATTATCCACATGTTTGTGGATTTCAGTGGCTTCTTGGTGTAGTCTGACATGATAGTTGTTAGAGTGGTCCAGCACTTCAGAAATGTCAGTGGTTTCCCTTGGTCAGTGGGCCAGCTAACACCTCCTAACAGCTAGGCTTTGAAGCTGCAAGGCTTTTAAATGCTAATCAAGGTGGCCAATTGCAACATTCACACTTGCCTCAGACAGACAAGAGTTCTTTCTTCCACCCTGGACATTCTTCACTTGTCTAGTTTCCAACAGACCTCACAACCTCTGAGGATGCCTGCCAGAGATGGGGGTGAAACAACAGGAGAGAACTCTTCTGGAACATGGTCATACAACCTGGAAAACTCACAGTAACCCAGTGATTTCAGCCATGAAAGCATTCGACAACATGTAGTAAAATTGTGTTGTTGAAGGCCTTTATGGCCGAAATTACTGGGTTGCTGTGATCTTTTACACAGCAATGGCCATAGATTTCAGAAAACTCACAGCAGTGTAGTAAAACTGATTGTCAGTGATTCAGTGCAATAATGCGTACCACAAAATCCATTCTACTTTGCAGCTTTGTGACTTCTGATTGTTATTATATAAACTTTGTGTGGATGTTAATTAAGGGCTTCCAACTGCATTAATATCTACTTGACTATCTTAAGTTGCTGTTGTATAGTCTTGTGTCAAACGAATCTTGCAGTAAGGGATATTTCTATCTAACCAAATTAGCATTTTGAGAAAAAATGAGTGCATTATCTTCTGGGATTTAATAGAAAATTTGTTGTACAGGAAGTCCATAAGTTACAAACGTCCGACTTACAAATGGCTCATAGTTAAGAAGGGGGGGGGGGTGAGACACAGGAAGTGAGAGCAATCTACCCATTGGAAGGGAATTTCACACCTAAAAGAATTCTCGTGAGGAAAGGCATCTCCATTAAAGTTTTCTCACCAATCCATGTTTCCACAACAAGCTATATTTTTCAAAATTGAAAGGACAAAAAATGAAGTGGAATCATCTGAAGAGGGACACAGACAGCAAATCAAACACCACATGGGTGTTAACTCTTCCCTATGCTATACAAAGTTTAAAAATAAATTTTGGTTGGAGTTACTCTTAAAAATGTAGTTGTTTCAACTTGCAAACAAATTAAACTTCAGAACAAACCTACATAATCTTGTTTGTAACTTGGGAACTGACTGTATATTATTTGAAAGCACGGGTTCCTCCTGTCATTAACACTGAGAATTAATATTCATTTGACTAGATTGAATGGATAGAGCAACAAAAGCAAGAGCAGCTGAAGTTGCTTCAACAAATTGAAGAGCAGAAAAGAAAGCTTGAGGTTGATTTCCTGAAGACTCAAATGCAGCATCAGGAGTCAAAAGCTGAGAGAGACACAGAGAATAATGATCAGGAACCTCAAGCCATAGAAGTGAACGATGCCGTCCCTGTTGCCCATCAGCAGCCAAAAGTAGAACAGCAGGTAATGAAGGAAGGTGTTCTGAAGGTACGGTTGATTCTCCATGCTGAATAATATTATATCACAAAGTGTTATTGACAAGATCTCAATTCTCGGGCAAATATTTAGAAAGAGAGGGATTTCCTCAAGCATCAAGGTCCCAAGCTTTTTATATGGATAGAGTGGTACTGCTTGTGGATATAAAACCTTTTTTTAAAAAAAGAAAGAATCTGGAAGAAAAAGATATGACTTTATAGAGGATGAGTAAAAAAAGGAAGGGAGGGGATAAAGTTGTTAGAACTGATAAGAGTAGAAAGGCTTAGATAAAAGGTATATGGTATTACAGAGCGTTGGAAAATGAACAACTAAACACTAGCATCTTGTGACTCTTGAGAGAAAAATGTACTCCATAAAACAGATGTACTTTTTTCTGTACTCTTTATATTTCATTTAATTTATCTTTAGTCTGAAAGGGATGAAGAACCTCAGGCAGCCTGCACTTCTAAAGAGGACAACCACATGGAGATAATTCGTGACTACCAGCAGCGTCTTCTAAAGCAAAACAGGTATTTCTTTCTTGTCAAAAGTGTTCCCTTTCTTTTGAATTAGAATGTTGCTTTGCTCCTGAAAAGTATGATTTATTCAGATAGTAAGAAGATTTTTTTTCCTCAGTCTCAATATGGTCTGTACTGGGCTAGACTGAGTTATACTGGGCTATACTGGGCCCATGATCCTTTTTAGACCAGTGAGCTTATTAACAAAAGACCTTCCTCTAAATGTACAGCAGAGTAACTTATTAGCAGCAGTGTGACCCAGCACCAATAGCCCAAAGTGATGAACAGAAACACACAGACCAATGTTATCTCTTCCAAGAGAGGCTTCTCTTTGTAGAAAAATATGGTTGCACCATTTATAAGAAGAAGGTTTCCATAACACAAATAAAGTTCAAACTTCACACTGAAGCTTCACACACGACAGCCTTCTCATACTGAGACTTACCTCACACTATGAAGCCCTAATAACACTAAGGCCTATTCTCTCACAGTGAGGCCTACCACTGAGGCCTTTTCTTCCACTGAGGTGTTTTCTCACACAGAGAAGCTTCTCTCACACACTAAGGCCCACCTCACACTGTGAGACTTTCTCACAGTCTGAGACCTTTCTCCCACTGAGGCAAACTAACACAGAGGCCTTTTATCCCACTGAGGAATTCTCTCACATACAGAGGCTTCTCTCATACTGAGACCTCTCTCAGACTGGGGCGTTACTAAACAACAGGCACATCTGCTTATATTGAACTGCAGCTTTGCTGAGTCATTGCATCCAATTAACCCTTTCAGTGCTTGATTCACATTTTTGTAGTTAAAAATATCTAGTTAATTTTAATATTTCTGACAATAATCACTGTTTTAGGATGCACAGAGACTCCATTGAAGAAGCTAGAAAACAGTTGCATGAATATCAGATCAAGCTAAAACAAAGATACCAGTCAGTTTCTGCAGCATTATTTGGTCCTGCTGACAGATTTGTGCAAGTAAAACTAGTCCCTCAACCTTCATCACAATTGCATGGATTTGAAGTATTGCAGAGAGTTAACTTGATAGCAGATCATCCTGCAAAGAATACTCCTGTACAAAGGCAAGTCCCATTGGAGCAAAGAAGCAAAGAGGGGGTGCTTGATTTCAGCAGACAAGGACAAATCCAGCCTGTGGGCTCCCCGGAGAATCAAAGACCTTTTCAGTTGATGCACCAGCAAAAAGAAAGACTGCCTACACTGAATACAGTTGTAACACAGCGGGCATCATTTGCATTTAATTCACAGGGTGCTTCCATTACGACTCATCCGGGTCAGCATGTCCGATTCACCCTCCCTACAAACAGTATTTCCCCTTCTTCAGAAACGCCTTTACCTGTGGTCCCTCATGTACCTCAGATAGAAGAGGCTCTTTTTCCACTATCCCTGAAGCATCAAGACGTTCCTACTGAGAATAAGACAAAAACAATTTCAGACCAAATATCCCTGCCTCCTGTGCAGCCAAACTCTTCTGTGCCTTTTGCTGTAACAAGTGAGGCTGAGAGTACCCAGGAGTCTTTGGTCCTGAGGAAGGGAAGCGGATCCTTGCTTGGTTATTCTGATATCGTGCAATTGAGAGACCGGATGGTGGCTTCGTCTGAGAACATCCAAGCTCAGCAAGAACACTTGAAAGAACTGCAGGAGCAGCTGGATGAGCAACGGGAAGCTCTTCTTTCTCGGCAGAAGGTACAGGAGGACATGCTCATGCAGAAGCACGCTCAGCTGAAACAACAAATGGAGCAGCAACAAGAAGCTTTGAAAGAGTTCCTTCAACGGGTATGTTCTGAAGTACAAGGCAAGGAGATTATCTGGGTACTTTTCAGTTTGTAGTGGCAACTTTTTACTTCTCGTCCCCAGTTGTTATTGGAGATCTGAAGCCTTCCTTTCTTTCTGAATTGTCCCACAATTGTGTGGCTTAAATTTTAAAATTAATGCAATTCCATTTCTGTTGTTTCAAACCTTTGCCTTGTGGTGTAGAATCAACTATATCAGCATCATATACAAGTTGTGGCCCTAATGTAAACTTGAATATAAAGTCTTGAACTAGTATCAGTTGCTTCTAAGCAACACTGTAACAAAATTTGGAAAAAAAATCTGTTTCCGATTTGAAAGTGTTATTTCTTAATTTTGTGGTATTTACCATATATACTTGAGTATAAACTGAGTTTTTTAGCGCCTTTTTAGGCTGAAAAAGACCCCCATGGTTTATACTCTAGTCAAAGTTATTAATTTACTCTGTTATTATTGTTGTTATTATTGCATTTATTATTTTACTCTATTATTATTATTACTTTTATTATTTTACTCTATCATTATTATTACATTTATTGTTTTATTATTGTTAATATTACATTATTTTACTCTTTATTATTAATTTATTTTAATTTATTATTGTTATTATTGCATTTATTATTTTACTCTTATTATTACATTTCCATTATTTTACTCTATTATTACTGTATTTTACTTTATTATTATTGGAAGGATATGTACATTTACATGAAAAGTTAGAATAATGGTTTAATCAGAGTTGGACAGTCTTAAATTACAGTTTTATGTAAATATTCAAAAAACATTTAACCTACTGATGCCTCAGTTAAAGTAATTTTATTGGTGTCTATTTTTATTTTTAAATTTACCAGTAGCTGCTGCATTTCCCACCCTCGGCTTATACTCGGGTTAGGAAATACGTTTTCTCCTCTGCATGATAAACAATAGGCTGTAAAAGAAGCTTCTCTTATTTGGCTTCTTTCCTGTACACAAATTCCTGAGAATAAAATCAATTTAACTCATTGAAGCATATTTGAGACCAAAAAGCAAGATAGTTGGGTTGAGGATGTATTCACTATCTTCAAGTTGAAAAATGTTTATGTCTTTAATCCCTTTTATTAGGCAGAAGAGTCCAGCAATTACAGAGAGACAACGCAGACGCAAGAGACTAATAGCTCCGGTTTGTTGACGTCATTTTTAAAAGAAATTAACATCAGCAGCCAGCAAGAGGTTTGCTTTGGTGATCTAAACAGCCTTTCTCAAAAGGAAGTTGTGTTTCAAAATGATGGTTCAGCAAGAAAAAATGGTAAAGCTCTTTGGGGACATCATGAGTTCTGGGTTCTTTCTTCACCTCTAACTCTTTTGACGATTTGTAGATTTGGACAAAAATTAGTTGTAAAACTTGACAATTTTAATAATACTTCTCTTTGTTCAACTATTTTGTTCAACTATAGGCCTATCTGCAAAATAATGCCTACATTTCCATACCTAATGGATGATATTTTCTTAAATAAACATCACTTTTGAAAAGACTTTCAAAACTAGTTTAGCGTAGCAATAGGATATTATTTCAAAAGAGGAAATAGCCTGCTTAAACTCTGCCCCCGCCTGATATATTATTTTGATTTAGTTAAATGTGGCAATAATTATTACAGTCTTGTCAAATCAGTATTGTTTGTTGGGCAAGTGGGCTTATTAACAAAAGACCCTCCTCATAAATGGACAGCAGAGTAACTTATTAGCAGCAGCGTGACCCAGTAACAGTAGCCCAAGGTGATAAGAAGAACAAAAACACAGAGACCAATGTCATCTCTTCCATAGGAGACTTTTCTCTAGTAAAATAATATGGTTACACTATTTACAAGAACAAGGTTTCTTTAACACAAATCAAATTCTTTATACTTCCTTCATTGCTTCCACGCTGGGCTTCTTTCTTATGCAGATAAATAGCTTCACTTTTGCAGAGCCTCCGCTCACACTGAAATTACACCGGAGCGTCACATAGTAGCTTTACGTACAGCAGCATTTACACTGGAGCTTCATACCAAAGCTTCTCACACCAGGCCTTCCTCAAACCTGGCATTCTCATAGACTAAGGCCTACCTCACACTGTGAGGCCTTCCCACAGGCTGAGACCTTTCTCCCACTGAGGTTTACCTCAGACTGACGGCTATTAAGATACAGGCACACCTACTTACATAGAACTGCAGCTTTTGCATCCATTTTACCCTTTCAGTGCTTGACTCACATTTTTGTAATTAAAAATACCTAGTTAATTTTTAATATTTCTGACATTGTTACCCTCATACTGCAAAAACAGTGCTTCCCTCAAGCCACTTAGTGTGTAGAAATAACTTTTAAGTAGGAAGCCGATCTTAATTAATTGTTTAATTTTGTAGCTGCTTTGCCGTGCCAGTTCCTTTTGGCCTAAATTATGTTTACCTTTCAGATTCATTTCAGAACACCTGGGGGAAAGAACAGAAATGGACGCTTTCAAAGCCACCTTTGGCAAAAGTAAAATTAGGACTTGATTTGGAACAGCATGAACTTAGTGTCATACCAGAACTTGACACACCAAGGAGCGTCAGACTTTCTGCAACAGGTACATTGTAAAAGTGTACTGTTTAATTACAAAACCATAGCCTCTTGTATCTTTTTGTTTGCTAATTTATAACATGATGCAAGGTCTCAAGTCTTCCCAACTTTCAAATTCCAAGAAGTGGTATTGGGCAAATTCAGCATGAAGTGATTACCAGCAGTTCCTTTCTTCCTCCCTGCTGTCATTGACTCCCCTGTACCTTGGCATGACTTCCTGTTGAACAGAATCTTATATCTACCATTGCACAGGATGATATGGAAAACAGTGAAGTTTATTAGATTTGGTTTACAGATTGGGATGGGAAAAGCTCCTGTGCATCTTTCCTTGTTTATTTTTCTTTTTTTTTAAAAAATCTTATTCCAGTTTTGGTACTGTTCGTTTAGGATTTCTGTCTTTGAGGGGAGATTTCTGGTTGATAAAAATGAGCAGATTGTTAGCTCTGTATGTATGCGTTAACTAGGGATGGAGTCTTCTGATGTCAATCTAGTGATTCTTCCTGTGTTATCCCATTGACCAGATTGGTGATTGGCCAAAAGAGTTTCAAGAACCTGGAACAATTATAATGCTGAATAATTCCAGATATAATCACATCTTTAGAAATTAAGAGCCTCCATTTAACAGCTACAATTTTTGATTTGACTGAAAACTAGGAACTGACTGGTGCTATTTCAAACTGCTTGGCCTCTTTTACTCATATTCTGTCTTACTTTCATATGATTATTTTTTTTTTTCTGTGGGTAGAAGAGACAGAAGACTAGCAGGTGCATCAATGGATTGAGACAGTCAAGGCATTGGAGAAAATTAACATGAGAGTCTTGTGACACCTTCACAAATGTATTATAGTGTAAACTTTCACAGACCAAAGTCCATTTAAACTGAAGTATGATGTGTTTGGAATATTTGCAATAACGACTGAAATTGCTTGTGACTATGATTTTAGATAGCGTGGTTTTAATAAGGGGTTTTAATGTTGTTGTTTTTTAGTTTTATGTTTTTAATGTATATGTTCAATTTATTATATATATCTGTTAGTATGGTATTAAATTGCTGCCTATTATAGTGTTGCTCTGAGAAGGGTGGGATACAAACACAGTAAATAAATAAATAAAAATTTAAAAATTGATTTTATAGTGATCATTGTAGAAATTCTGGTAGCTGCCTTTTACATCTCCTGAATATCAGGACCACCTCCACCCATTAAATAAGTAGGTAGATAGATAGATAGATAGATAGATAGATAGATAAAACTCATTGCCTCCATACATTAGAGCAATGTCGGAGTTGCGACCTTATGTATAGGCACTCAAGACTTGGCTGTTTGGTTGTGCATTTAAGTAATCAGATCTAATTTGCCAAATAGTCACTGTTGAATGTTTTTATGTTGAATGTTTTTATATTGTGTAAATGCTATTTTAGACTGTAAGTTGCTCGGAGCACCTTGGTGGAGAGCGACTAATTAAGAAATAAAGTGAAGTGAAGATAGATAGATAGATAGATAGATAGATAGATAGATAGATAGATAGATAGATACTAGAGGTAGGGTCTTGCTTATCCAACATAAACAAGCTGGCAGAACATTGGATAAGCGAAAATGTTGGATAATAAGGAGGGATTAAAGAAAAGCCTATTAAACATCAAATTACGTTATGATTTTACAAATTAAGCACCAAAACAACATGTTTTACAACAAATCGACAGAAAAAACAGTTCAGTCTGCCATGTATTGAAAAAATTAACTACAAAAACATTGACTATGTATTAAAAATTGACTACAAATAAAGATAGAATTGCATAGCATGAACTTACAGTAACAACATTGCTGGAAGTTAAATTCGTCAAAAGTTCAGTCCTGTGAAGAATTTTTAAAAATCTGCATCCTGCCCGGAGGCGGGAGACGCAGCCAGTGCAGGCCAGATGCTGTACCCGACGGGAAAAGTCTGTGTTAGCCGTGTTTCATCCCACGTGCAGGCCCTCTGCACGTTGCTGCCTGAAGAAACCGCTGTGGATCCGGGTGGGAGGTAGACAGCGTCAGATAATACAGAACGTTGTATGAGCAAAGGTTGGATAAGTGAGACACTACTGTATGTCTGTAGACATAAATATAGACAGGTTTCTTGTGCCCTCTGGAGAGTACAGGGGGAATTGTGTGATATAGATGTTGACTGGAGGAATGGGGAAAATTTACCCACTCCGAGAAAGGGACTGCTTCTAATAACTAGCAACTGCCAATTTCAGGTTACAGAGAGTCTCTTACTGAAGACGTTTTCCTCACTTCTAAAGTCTATCAACTGGAAAGTAGCGAAAGCCCGCCTGACTCTCATCATGAAGAGACAGATATACAAAGAATTATAGCAGGTTACAAAGAAGAAACATCTGGTACAAGTCAGGATCAGGTGCATGGATCATGGTGTGAGATGGATGGTTTGTCTGACTCAGGTGAGTGGAGTTACATTTTGAGCCATGAATTATTGTGGTGATGACGATATGGCTTAGATTTAACATCACCTGGTAATAACAATAACCACGCAGATATATACATAAAAATATACTGTGGCTACTGTACTCATAAATTTCCTTCATTATCTTAAGCATGGCCACCGGAAATAGAGACCTCTAGAAAATATTTAAATTCCAAGAGACAAGTTTTCCAAAACTCTCACTGTATGGGTCATATATAGTTAAGAAGAGCATAGAAGATGGGAATAAAGATTGTGAAGGGATGAAAGCATTTAGATGGCAAAACCACCACCTTGATTTTTTCCTGTAAAATAATCTTTATTCTTATTCTTTATTCTTATATCCCACCACCATCTCCCCAAATAAAACCAATAAATAATAAACCTTTATTTATATTCCACCCTATCTCCCCAGAGGGACTCAGAGCGGATTTCAAACATAAAAGGCCAACATTCAGTACCCAAACACATCAACAATACATCCATAGTAATGAAATTTGGCAACCAACATATAAAAACAAATTATGACTTAACTAATTTTAAATAAAAAATGCAGCCTGTTATATCAGATGAAGGGACTCACGGTAGCCTACAGACGACACAAAGTGAAGATCACAGTGACTGATGAAATGCTTTCAAAGTCTTTTTCAAGGAAGAGTTATTTCTTCTTTGTGGTATTTGTGAAATCACACATATGGGTTTACTTTGCCAAAGACATGATCTGTGAGTGAAAGCAAAATTGCAGACTGTTGAATTGGAATAATATATGTATTCTTTCATACATGTTCTTTCATACATATTTTTTCATACATGCCAACCTAGCAGTTTGAAAACATGCAAATGTGAGTAGATCAATAGGTACCGCTTCGGTGGGAAGGTAATGGCGCTCCATGCAGTCATGCCTGCCACATGACCATGGAGGTGTCTATGGACAACGCTGGCTCTTCAGCGTAGAAATGGAGATGAGCACCACACCCTAGAGTCGGACACGACTGGACTTCATGCCAGGGGGCAACCTTTACCTTTACCTTCATACATGTAAGCCTGGGCAGAAATAAACAGTTAGAAAAGACTTACAAAATAAAATCTTCTGCCTCTACTTAATGCGTCAGTATCTCTACATAATAGTTTACTAGGTGTTTTCCTGTGCTGATGCATCCTTTTTTCTTTAGTGTTTTCAGCCCATTCTCAAGTGGATCAAGGTTTACTCAGTTATGCAGTTGATATTGGAAGAAGAGCAGATCCTGATTCTTCATTTAGAGCAAATAGTATGGTTAGTCACCAATACGCTTTAACAGCTGCATAATATGTAGCATTTATTTTAATCCAGTCAGCTTTATTTTTTTTTGTTCTATTATTTTATATATCATTAATGTGAGGTTTTAATTTTGAGTGTTGCATGTAAATGTGATGAGAAATAGTCTCAAGCCATGTATGTGCTCCCATAGGGAGAGAATAAAACCCTATCAGAGCAGGTGGTTTACCACGTTCTTGGACCTCATTCCCCAAAGTGTATCTGTGAATGCGGTTGATCTTCAGCTTGTTGGCTCTGATCTAGCGTATTACAGTATCTCGGTACAGCCCCAACTGACTGCAGTGAGAAGGAATAAAAGCTCTCCTATTAATACACTGACATCAGTTAACTCCCAATTACCTTACCCAGTGACTTAACTTAGATATAGAAAAACATTCTACAACACAACGGCTGTGGGACCAAATGATTCCAAAATAAGTCCCCAAATGTCACTCTGGAAACATCCTTGCAGATAGGTGCGAAACCATTATAACATAGTACCTCCCATTCCCTTCTAGTGAAGCTAGTTCAGTATGATAATACGATGGACAATGATATCAAAAACACCCGAGAGATACAGAAAGATCAACTGAGTAGCATTCCTCATGCCTTTCTCCTGGATCAGGCCTTCAGTCAAGGCAACGAAGGCTTTCTTTGTTCCATGCCCTGGCCTGAGACGAGACAGAAATGAGTCTGGATAATCTGTTCCATTAATATAAATTCCAGAAACATATATTTTTTCATTAACCTTCAGAATTAAAAAAAATATGTAGTGCAAAAAAAAAAGCATAAGGCATTCTGTTTTTAATATATTCAGCACTTTAGGCTCTTAGATATCCTAAGATTAGAATAGACACATCATTTTACTTTAAGGAATAGCTATGAAATTATCTTGGATTGCTTTACCGTTCCTCTGAGAGCTGCTTACTCAGTGGCTCTGTGATGAGAAATAGCCAAATCTGAGCACTTGAAAAGGTCAGCTGATCTTATAGTGCATGATTTATATACTGTTCTGGGAAGCAATTCAAATCTGACCGAGAGCGTGAGTTTTTCTGGTGCATTGTGTAAGTGGTGAGTGAATGTGCGAGAAGAATTTGGGTAGGTGAATTGGGCGAAGTGGGGAGTGTGTGTGTGTGTATGTGTGTGTCAGAGAGAGAAAAGTACTGAGCAGTGATGAATCTGAGTGGAACTGACAATTTAATATATGGAGGTTTCTACACTTGATCTGAGCTCAGAACAAAAAAGGTTGCAAATTTCAAGCTCTTAGGTAAATGTCATCTTTAATCATTATATTACACATGTATTCTTGCCCTAGGTAATGCTTCACACGGCATGGTCTCCTAATTCATTAAATTTACAGACTTCTATGCAACAGGTAGCCTGCAGCTATTTTGCTTCATCTCCTGTTTCTCCTGCCATCATTACAACCAACTACAATCCAGATGGAAGTCTTGAGAGCACAGGTACTATTTGTTTTATTTTGGGCTTTTTTTCCCAAGCTCAAAACATAACGAGCCCTTCTGGTCTCTTCCAACACTCTGCTTCTATGAAAGGTCTGGAAACCAAGTTCTATGAGGGACAGCTGAGGGAACTGGGTTTGTTTAGCATGGTAAGAGCTGTTTGGCAGTGGAATAGGCTGCCTTGCAGGGTGGTGGAGTCTCTGTCTCTGGAGGTTTTTAAGCAGAGGCTAGATGGCCATCTGTTGGGGGAGCTTTGATTCTGTTCTCCTACATAGCAGGGGGTTGTACTGGATGGCTGTTGGGGGTCATCATTATATTATTCTAGTATGTTATTCAGGCATACCTCGATTAACAAAGCCTCTGACAAAGAAACATGCTTATTAAAGTATTTTCATATCTCTACCATCGCCTTTTTCCTTTATTTCGTCTATCTAACTGGAAGTCTGTAGCAGCATCAGCAATGACAGAAGGGTAAAGAAGGGCTTGAGAAATCTGGACTTTCAATTATGAGTTGCAGCAGTATGTTTACAGTATATAATGCACTATAGCTGGAGGCGGAAGGACTAGAATTTTACTCTTGCCAGTCCTGATGTTGCCATGTCTGCTTTACTACAACAGGAAAGGTAAATGTTAGCTGCCTCTAGAATACGCATGGGCTAATGTTGGCCCTCCAGGCGTTTTAGACTTCCACAATTCCCAACAGCCTATCAGCTGTTAGGAACGGTGGAAATTGAAGTCCAAAATGCCTGGGGGGCCAAAGTTTGCCCATGTCTGCTCTAGACTGGGTTACTGAGTTTGTATGAACACCAACAAAGGGATAAAAGGGGGAAACAGAAAAGCCCGCTTCATCAGCTACCTTCAGCATGTTGAAAAGAGCATATATCTATAAACAGAAATCATAAGAATAGTGGAGTCTACAAAATAGAAAAGAAATAATCCCTAGAAGTATTTGAAAAGAAAGTTTCAAGTGGTCTCTAGAAGTGGCTGTAGGTAATATGAAAGTCAGGTACGCCTCCACATCCCAGATTGTATTTTAAATCTTTCTTTGATGTGTAGTTAAAAGCATCTGTTTGTGGTCATGTGCATTCGGGCCAAAAGAGAGGCTGTTTTTTGGGGCCATTTTCATCGGACTCCTCATTTGTTTACCAGAAAGTTACACGAAAGGAGAAGGATGTTTTCTCTTTCATTCAGCACAGATTTGGTCCATTGCCTGCAATGGGAAACTTTAAAGGCTCAATCCTCAGCCTTTTTAAGGCCTATCTGCATGAAACCTACCTCAGCTGTAGACCCCATTTACAACTGCAGACCTGCCAAGTTTCAAATAAATTCACCACTCTACTGATTTTTTAGCATTATTTTACATTTTAAACATAAGTTTTTTAAAAATAAGACGAACCGCAAGAGAGCGTTCTGGGAATTGTAGGTGCCGGTTGTGTCCATTCTCAGCCAATCAGAGCATGGACACCACCAAACTGTTTATTGGCTGAGAGACACACAGAGAGAAAAACTTCAACTCCCATCATGCTCTGAGAGGAACTTTCAGTGGCCATCCTATGCCATTGGACTTAACTCTTTCTTAAAATATAATCTCTCTGAATTGATTTCACTGGTCTTTTCGTCTCTTTCCCTTTCTGGTTTTGGAAATTACATGAAAATAGCCCTCTGAAAACTACAAAACATTTTATTAACAGTGATTCAGGCCCAACTCTTATCTGTTTGTAAGTGAATACTTAATAAAATAGAGCAGCATTTATTGCATTTCTTACAGAGCCCTGTTCAGCCACGGACCAGCCGAAGCATTTCAACCCTCCGATGGAAGAGAAGGCAGATGATGCATGGGGTACATTGCATGAGCAGGATGACCCTTCAGAAGTTCTTCATTCCCATCTGTCTGCTAGAGAAGCGCTCCACTCTAATGAAAGCAGAATTCAGCAAATCATAAACAAATATACAAGAGATTTCAGCTGGTCTCTGAGCAACATAACTTCCTATGGTAATGTTACTGGGGAACAGAAAATAGCAATGTTCAAAAGCGCCTATTTTCTTATAGTTTAAAAAATGGAATTTTATTTCTCCTTGGCCTTTCTGAAGCATCTCATTCTTTGTTCTGTGGCCAGAGTACAAGGTTATCTATATGTTTACAATAAAGTGTGTGGCTAATGTGATGATTACCAGAGTTACTACTTGTTAGTAATTTTGTAGCTACACAGCTTAGGAATGACCAACTATTGGCAACTGGAATCCACCTTAGCAACCTTGTGGAATGGAGCTCCTACAGAAACATCCTTAATTTATATTTTTAACTAAATTTCTCTAAGAACTTGGCCATTTTCACCATGTTTTTGGGTCTCCATGGGCCATTTCAGGATTAGGAAAGGAGTTTTTTCCATCATGAAGTAACCCAGTAGTTTTAAAGAGGGTTCTCCTGGGCTCAAAATGCAACCTTATGATTGGGTACTTTGATAGTTGAAGCACACTGTATGTTCGGTTCAAGGCTTTAAAGCCCAATTTTTATTTTTGAGACCCTGCTGACCCTGAGAATTGTCTTTGGGGATGGTGTGTTCCATATATCATATAAAATCCATAGGTCATAATCTTGCTGGTCATACATAGAATTTCCCTTACCTACGTGTGTATACGTTTTCCCCTAAATTTACAGTTTTATTTATTTATTTATTTATTTATTTGGTACACTTGTATACCGCTAATTTCTCAGCCTAGAACGGCGACTCAATTGCGGTTTACAGCATTTTAAAAACAATCTCAGTTTAAAAAACATATACAAATACAATAACAAATTATTGGGCCACCAATAATAATCCCATATATCTCAAGTTAAAATCACAATCCAGAGTTCGTTGTCCATATTTCCTGTCCATAGTCACCAAGATTCGATTTAATTGCCACAGATTAGCCGAATGCTTGTTTGAATAACCATGTTTTGAGTCTCTTCCTAAACACCATCAGCGACGAGGCTGATCGTACCTCTATAGGGAGGGCGTTCCAAAGCCGAGGGGCCACCACAGAGAAGGCCCTATCTCTCGTTCCCGCCAGCCGCACTTCTGAAGCTGGAGGGATAGAGAGAAGGGACTCTCCGGAAGATCTTAGGGTCCTGGTGGGCTGATAGGCTGAGATACATTGTTTTGCAGTGGTAGTAATCGGTTCATGGTCACATAACAGAGATGTGCAATTTTTAACTGGACTATCTGCCCGATCCAATTTCTTGTTGATTGCAGAAATTGAATCAGTCAGATCTAAATCCAAGTGTTGACTCACCAGAAAACGATTGATTCAATAGGCATACTCTGGTTGGGAGTAAGCACCATTTCAGCCATATAATTACACATACATGGAAGATGCACAACTCTTTTCTAGAGTACTACTTTTGTTTCACCTGGACCACTTTCTAATCCTCGAATATTTCCCATTACACCAGTGGTTCTCAACCTGGGATCCCCAGATGTTTTTGGCCTACAACTCCCAGAAATCCCAGCCAGTATACCAGCTGTTGGGATTTTTGGGAGTTGAAGGCCAAAAACATCTGGGGACCCCAGGTTGAGAACCACTGCATTACACAATGGGACAATACATAAGCAGATTGGGAAACTGACTATATCTGCTGTTACTAGTTTTCAGCATCAGGAAGGTGTAGTGTGAGTGTGGATTTACACTATGTAAACATGAAGCATGAACTATGGGTCTTGGTCATAGTTTAGCACTAACTAAAATACTTTTATAACTAGGTTTAGATCCAGCAGTAGGACTTGATGCCACTGAAATGGAAAGAAACTTTCCAAACTTCCATCGTGAGCTTTTTCAGTCCTTGCAGCAAAGTCCTGACTTCAATATCTCCTCAAGTTTTTCTCAGTGCAAAGCATCTCCCAACAGCAAAGACTTAAGCAAGGTACTGTAATCAGGCATTTGGGGGATGAGGAGGGGCAGTTTGTGAGGATGTGGGTGGGATTTTGGGGGAATGTTTATCTTTTACATGTAAATTGTATTTATGTATATTGTATGTCAATTGTATTTTTTTTGTATACATGACTCAAATATTTAGTTGGTTTTATATATATATATATATTCATGTGCTTTTTATTTTCCCTGTGTTGTGTCATGCCATTGTTAGCCACCTTGAGTCCCTATGGGGAGAAAGGTGGGATAAAAAGAAAAAAATAATAAGTTTCTGGGAGTAGCAAATGATATATATATATATATATATATATATATATATATATATATATATTTCATATATTGATAGCTAGATATTATAGTACATTTTGAAGTTGTGGCAGCCTGGAGTTGCAAAAAGGACTTGTGGACCATAGGCTCCTCCTTTACAATGGTAGGGATTTAGAATGGCGGGTAATAATGCCAGTGATGCTGATTCTCTTGTGCTGCTATAAAAAAATCAATTTAAGAAATGGCCAATTGAGTATATGAATTTTGCATCACATTCAAGAAGAGAGATGCATCTCAGATCTTGATTTTCCCCTTATTTGTCTGCCTTGTAGTGAGTGCAAACCTTCTACAGGCTAGTGTAGATGCCCAACTTTTGGAGAATGTATGCCATATTTCTGTACTGTGAAATCAATGTAGTCTGTTCTTTGTTACTTTGGGTATCTTTCCCTTGAAGTAAAAATATTTCCTGAAGATAGAATTAGAATATCTCAATCATCTAAATGTTCATTTTTCTGTCCTTAGAGTTCAGCTTTATCTCAGAGTCATGAATTAACAGCTTCCAGTTTGGAGAACAGAAGCAACAGTCTTTCATTTATTAGCACAGGAAAGCTAAGTAATACTCTGCCAACAGGACAGACGACTGATGAAGAGGTGGAAGCAATATTGGAAGGTAATTGAGTACTGTTTGGGACCTGCCTACCTGCGTGACCGCATCTCCGTTTATGAATCCACGCGCTCCCTTCGTTCATCCGGAGAGGCCCTGCTTGCGATCCCACCTGCGTTGCAGGCGCGTTTGGTGGGGGTGAGGGACAGGGCCTTCTCTGTGGTTGCCCCCCGACTTTGGAACACCCTCCCCAAAGACATTGGACTAGCAGCTACGTTGGCAGTCTTTAGGAGGAACTTGAAGACCTGGCTATTCCGATCTGCCTTTCCGGAATACGATAACCCCCAGCACTATGTCCCAGGAGCACTTTATTAGAGTTTAAGACTCTCTGCACATTGCACTTGCCCAGAATTCCAACATACCACCTGCCACACCCAGCACTTTTTAACTTGTACCCATCACTGGCCCGGCCCTGGTTTTTATTGCGTAATGGTGTAATGCTTTGTTATTGCTTATGTTTTTAATTTGCTTTGAATTGTATGGTTATTGTTTTGCTGTTGTGTTGAGGCCTTGGCCTTTGTAAGCCGCATCAAGTCCTTTGGGAGATGCTAGCAGGGTACAAATAAAGTTTAATAATAATAATAATAATACTGTTCAGAATGAGAAAAATTGCTCTGATGGCTCCCTTTCCTATCCTAGTTGGAGTTCACGATATAGTATCTGGCTTATTTTGAATCATCTTTTAATTTTGGTGCTTCAAATCTCAGATCGTGATCTTCTCAATCTCCAGTAATACATTTTCTTGGCAAATTCTGGCATGCAAACTACTACCTCTGGCATCTGTAGCTAAAAGATAAGATAGAAAATGGTTGGAAAAACCTTTGGCTTTAAATCTAGAGAGCCATTGCCAGATCACAATTTGGCAAGATGTACACAGAGTCTGATTATCTATAGGTTGATATTTCTGTATAAAACTTGCAATCTTCCTTTCCAACTGAAACTTGCTATTGCTTCCATTCAAAGTCAAGTAGAATGTAAATTGAATTTTCTAAACTTTTTTTCAGATTTTCAACCAGGTGCTGAAGAATTGTTTGAACCGCTGCTAATGGAATCTGCCTTGAACCAGTATAGGCAGAGTGCTTCACCTCAAGCCCATAGCGTTGTCCCTGAATACAACTTTGAAGTCAGGAAATCGGTTGAGAATCGACTGTATATTTCACCTAAGAGTACACAGTCCGAAGAGCAGGGAGTCAATGAGGATGATAGCAATCTTCATTCTTCTATTGAACATTTTCGCAGTCTGAGTCCAGTTGAAGATCAACACTTGTTTTATCAGCTGGTTCCAGATCCTGATACAGGGAAAATTACTATTGGAAGGACAGAGTCACCAAAAGTAGGCTCCGGAGAGGAGAGTGTTTGCTTTGCTGAACTACCTTCTGCGTTTAGTCAGGGGAAGTATGAGGCTGGTATTGAAAAAGTAACTATGAGGAAGAATGCAGAAATTAATCTCTCTTGGGGCAGCCAACAGGCTGATGGAGAACAGCATTCTCCAAAAACAGATACAATGCTAAGCTTGGCTCAAGCAATGGATTCACAACTCTCATTTGGTCTTTTGCATGATTCTGAACTGGAGAGTGAGCCTCAGATGTTTCGGCCACCAGATCATAGCATTGGGCAAGTTAGAGGCTTTGATTCCTGTTTGTCACAAAGCACCGTTCCAATCTGGGTGAGTAAAGTAAATGAGATGTATGTCAGTGGCTAATATTTCATCATTTTTGTGTTGAAGTCAACACAATTTACTCTGAAACTGCTGAAAACGTGGCATTTTCAGTATATTGCTGAAAGGAAGGTGTTGACCTGGATTTCAGATGGACAACAACTAAGACTGCTTATTTCTACTAACCCAAACATACATTTAAAAAAAATGTATTTAAAGGGCTGAAACATATAAAGCTGCCTTAGGGTCTGTCAGGAATATTTAGAATTAACTAGGTATTTTTAATTACAAAAATGTGAGTCAAGCACTGAAAGAGTTAAATGGATACAAAGACTCAGAAAAAGCTATAGTTTTTATATAAGCAGGTGTGCCTGTAGCTTAGTAGGCCTTGGTGTTAGTTCGTCTCAGTGTATGAGAGGCGTCAGTCTGAGAGAACCCTCAGTGTGAGAAGGCCTCAGTGTGAAAATGGCCTCAGTGTGAGGTAGACCTCAGTGTTAGTAGGACCCGGTGTGAGAAGGTGAGAGAAAGCCCCAGGTTGAAGGACTCGTGTATAAAGCTACTGTGTGAAGCTCCGTTTTGAATGCTGCTGTGTGTAAAGCTAGTGTGTGAAGCCCCTGTGTAACTTCAGTGTGAGAGGAGGCTTTGTGAGAGCAAAGCTGTTTATTAGAAGCAAGTGCAGGAATTTACCATATGTGCAAATTCACAGGTGATCACTCAGGAAACTACGTTTACAGGTAAGCAACCTATATTTATGGGCATTAGAAAGAAGCCCAGCGTGGAAGCAAAGAAGGTAGTATAAAGAACTTTATTTGTGTTATGGAAACCTTATTCTTGTAAATAATGCAACTTTATTATTTTACTACAAAGAAAAGCCTCCTGTGGAAGATAAAACATTAGTCTGTGTGTTTTTGTTCTTTTTATCACTTTTGGCTACTGGTTCTGGATCATGCTGCTGCTAATAAGTTACTCTGTTGTGCATTTATGAGGCGGGTCTTTTTTTAGTAAGCCAAGTTGCCTAACAAGAATCATACCATTCTTTTAACAGATCCTGCAACTAATGCCACTCAGTTCCCTCCACTCACCCAACAAGGGTTAGGGCCCAGTCTAGCCCAGTACAGACCATTTTGAGGCTGAAGAAATGTGTCAATGGCATTTCAAGCAAGTGGATTGCCTTTTGTAAGATTGAATGCCAGCAATTATGCCACGTGGTCATTTTAAATGATTTTTTTTTCTTAAGAGACACTGAGAGAAAGGTGACATATAAAGTAATGTAATGAGCTTCTGTTTTCCAAGTTTCCAACCAATATTGAGGCTAATTCCATATTGATTTATCCATACAATTCCATCTGATAATACACACGGGTTTGATGATTTTCTGCAGTTGAATGCACAAAAGGCCTATAGTTATGTTAATCAATAAGGATATATGTTTGAAAAATGTTTTGTTGCAAAAGAAAAGAATGCAAAAAGCAAAAAGATCCTGCTATTTTCTAAGAAATTATTTCTATCTCTATTTGTGTATGTGGAAAGTGGTTTTTTCTAACATAATAACTTTAATTGGGAGAGCAGTCATCAGAACAAACTGCATCAGAAAAATATGACAAAATTATGTATTAGGAGGATCAGTAGTACAGCTGACCTGCACACCTATGTCAGTTAAAGCATAGTCCACAGTTAGTTAAAACTTTGGGTTGGAAGGGCCCATTGTTTACTGATTAATCAAGAAATGCTGCTTAAATTATATATTTTAAGCTAGAAAAAACTCATAAGAATAGAAGATGGAATTACACTTAAAGGTGCTTGAATGCCTGTTTATATTGGGGAAACATCCTGCGTGCTGTTTTTACTGGAACCACTCAATGTATTATTTATTCTGATGTTGCCTCTTGTAATGTATCTTCTAGGAAAAACTTACAGGGAGAGGTATTATGGAAGAGCCTGACCTGACTTTAATAAGCGCCAATGACATCAGCACTGCAGAATCGGACATAGAACTCTTTATCCAAACAGAGAGTGGAAAGGAGAAAAGTGAAAACCTGTCAAACTCTGGTTCTCCTGAGGTAAATGATCTTTGGGGAAAGCATTCAGGATAGATTAGGCATGAGCAAACTTTGGCCCTCCAGGTGTTTTGGACTTCAACTCCCACAATTCCTTACAGCCTATTGGCTGTTAGGAATTGTGGGAGTTGAAGTCCAAAACACCTGGAGGGCCAAAGTTTGCTCATGAATGTTGTAGAACAATGTAAGAGGGTGATATTCTGTCCTTTGCTTTGAGCCACAAAATATTTTGGGCCATGCCTGATCAATGCATGCAAACTTGCAGCTGAGGGCAAGAAACTGCAGGGTGAGGTATAATTTTCAATTAACAATGGCAACTAAAAACACTCACAAAGAAGCATAATTAAAACAAAGGGACAAGACAGAGATGTGGGAGCAATGAAAGCAGAATTCAAACAATTCTATGATGCTATGAATTCAATATTCATGTTAGCTTATTGTTTTAACAGAGCAGAAGATTTCTACCTCTAATTTCAGAAGTGGATGGTTCCATTTCCACTCAGAGTGATCAGGCATCAGGAGCCCAAAGCTCCCAAGGGGACTGTGATGAGAAAACCGAACCAGAGGGTGCGTATGCAGTAACGTCAGGAAAAGCACAAGTGCCAAAATAAGGGTGCTAAAGAGCAACCTTTAAACTTCATCAAAATGAGAAGAGATCTTTCTACTTGTTATCATAGTAGTTTTGTGTTTGGTCCACAATCCGTACTGTTTCCCAACTAGTTATGCTTGCTAAGGGATCTTGGCAGTCATTGTCCCAAAAATTCACCTGGTAGGTCATATACAGACCAGAAATCTATAAAGATACAGTCCTTTGTTATCATCTTTTACTATTGTTGAAAGCAAAATTTATTATTCTGTTTGGCCAGCTCAGCTGTTCACGAACTGCATGGGATATATGTAAAAAGTCATTATGTTTAATTAGTAAGAATAGTATGGCAGAAGAGCATAAACAGTAGCAATGGCAACAGAAGCAGTTAAATTTAGATTTCGTGTTCTAATTGACAATGAAATTAAAAGGTTCCCATTTTTCAGTTATTGGAGAAACCTTTTAAATGCTTGACTGGTAACTGAGGGGATTATTGACTCTGTTCGTCAAATGCATTCTGATTTTCGATATTTGAACATAACCATTATGTCCCTGGGCCCTCTGGTTGCGCAGCAGGTTAAACCGCTGAGCTGCTGAACTTGCTGACTAAAAGGTTGGCGGTTCAAATCCGGGGAGCAGGGTGAGCTCCCATTGTTAGGCCCAGCTTCTGTCAACCTAGCAGTTTGAAAATATGCAAATATCAGTGGATCAATAGGTACCACTTCTGTGGAAAGGTAACGGTGCTCCATGCAGTCATGCTGGCCACGTGACCTTGGGGGTGTCTATGGACAACGCCAGCTTTTCAGCTTAGAAATGGAGATGAGCACCACCCCCCAGAGTCAGACATGACTAGACTTAATGTCAAGGAAAACCTTTACCTTTACCTATCATGTCCCCTCAGCCCACTAAGCCACTCCCCATGGGGCTTGGTTTCCAAAACTTTGGTCATTTATTTGCCCTTCTCTGGTCATGTTCCATCTTGTTATTGGAGACATCGTCTTCAGACTCAATCAGAAACGGAATGGACCTCCCTTGTCTGAAACAGAAGCTGGCTTTTAAGGCGGGCTGTGGTGGCATTCACAGCCAGTTAACAGTTCTGGGGAGCGAATCCAATACCGCAATACCAAATGGCAGACTATGTCTCCACTTTCTGGAAATGTATAAATCTATTGTTTTTAAAAGGGAAAAATCACATTAGGTTTTTCATCAGGTATAAATTATACCTTCCCTTTTCCCAACCCAGCAGTGTTGCTCACAACGGCCGCTACAAGCCTGCAAGAATCATTTTTGAAGCGGAAGAAAGATTTCATCGAGAGATCCTCTAAAAGGGTGGAAAAACTTAAAAGCAAAGATAAGGGTTCTGGAAAACCTGAGGCCAAGGCACCTCAACAGGAAAAAGCACAGCTTCAAAAACCAAAAGAGAAGTTGCTACGTTCTGGTAACTTTTAACAATCTGTACCATGGAATAGGGAAGGGGAGATGAAACTTTGCATACAATAAACTGGAATGTCTTCTGATCAGAGTAGTTGTCTTTTCTTTTCAAATACCGAATTCCATAGAGATGCTCGATAAAGGATATTTTCCCAAATATTTCAGTAGTTAACACAGATCTCTGTTTCATACAAATAAATGCTCAGTGTCGTTAGTGCTGCTTGTTCTAAGGTATGAATGGTGTAGTAGAATCTCTTGGTGAATTCGGTTCGCTCATTTGTGTACAGTTAGGTAGACATTACTATGTGGGTTTCTTGCAGAGGTTTGTTCATTTTGGTGTCATAGACCAAGTTATATTTTACGTGGTCTGGTTAAATCCAAGGTACAGGTGTCAGCTGCCTCAAGAAAGTGGAAGAAGTAAAGGTGTGCTCTCCTGACGACCGCAGGTCAATAGAAATCCAGATGCACCAGCGCACTTCAAGGTACTCTTGTCATCCATCTTTGGCAGAAACTTTACCTGATTTATTTAACAGAAGCTTGTTTTCCTCTCGAAATATTACGTGATCCTCTTTTAGATAAATGGGAGTGGGGGATCATGACTAAAATAGTGATTTGGTCTGGCAGGAAGATTTTTGTACCTGAATGGTTGCCGGTAGTGTAAATCCTTGCTTTTCCCCCCTTCCAGTATATGTCACTGTTGATTAATGTTTTGCCTTATCAGCCTATGTCACCTTTCAGGAAATTTATTGGTACTGCAAGAAACTGTGTTTTCTTTTCTCAGATTATATAATAATCTATCTGAAGTAAAAACCAGGAAGGAGCAGATAGCAAGACAAGAACATTATGCCAAAAACCGAGAAAGAGCAAAGGAATTTCAAAAGGTGTGCTCCCCATTCTACTTCCCTTATTAGTTTGTGTTCAAAATAAAACAGATATGCAGTCTCAGGCTTCTAAATCTTGTCCTCTAGGGTTTATTTTTTAATTTTTAAGTTCCAAAAGCCTCAGCCACCTTGCCCAATGGTCAAGGATTTTGAGAGATGGAGTCTAAAATGTTGAGAAGACTAGAATTTATGAGCCACTGCTGTAAGTGAAATCAAAGCAGGAGGTTTAAGATCAAGAGTTGAAACTGTTTTGTGTTTAGCAGCCAGGTGATCCCACCTGTCAGTCCACCATTGGCTGGATAATGACATGAGTTGTGCCATCTGACCCAAGAGAGCTAGTGTTGCTCACATGCCAGGTGAAGGAATGGTTTTGCTTACATGGTGCACCATTTGATGGCTTTGATACCATTTTGATGGCTGAAAGCAAGGAGGAGCTGAGGAGCGTTATAGCCAAGGTGAATGAAGAAAACGCAAAAGATGGGTTGCAGTTAGACATCAAAAAACCCAAGATTATGGCAACCAGACTGATTGATAACTGGCAAATAGAGGGATAAAACATCGAGACAGTGACAGAGTTTGTATTTTTGGAGTGAATATTATTGCAGACGCAGACTGCAGCCAAGACTTCAGAAGAGGTTTCCTTCTTGGGAGGAGAGCAATCACCAATCTCGATAAAATAGTGAAGAGTAGAGACATCACACTGGCAATGAAGATCTGCATAGTTAAAGAAATGGTATTCCCTGTGGTAAACTATGGATGTGAGAGCTGGACCATAAGGAGGCATGTGAGAAGGAGGACAAATGCTCTTTAGCTGTGGTGTTGGAGGAAAATTCTGAGAGTGTCTTGGACCGCAAGAAGATCAGACCAGTCCATGCTCCAGGAAATAATTCCCGACTGTTCTCTGGAGGGAAGGATATTAGAGGCACATAATGAGAAGACAGGAAAGCTTGGAGAAGAGAATATTGCTGGGGAAAATGGAAAGAAAAAGGAAGAGGGACCGACCAAGGTATGGTATCCTTGAAGTGACTGGCTTGACCCTGAAGGAGCTGCGGGTGGCCACAGCCGACAGGGAACTCTAGTGTGGGATGGTCCATGAGGTCACAAATAATTCAAAGCGACTGAATGAATAAACAACAACAAAATGGGGCACCTACTTTGCCCATCCGTTTGGAAACAATGGTTGGCATCCCATCTTGGTAGGCATATGCATAAATCAACCTTGCGCCCATTTATGTCAATTTGTGGTGCCTGCAGAGATTGGTATTTCTTTCTGTGCCTCATGGAGATGTCCCTCTCATCTTCTAGGTGTTTTGCATTTCACCTCCCAGAATCTGATCATTAATGAAAATGGCTGAAATCCAGAACACCCAAATTGGAATCACTGCCCTAATCAAATGTACAGGCTGTTACTATACATGCTGATATATAAGTTGAGGGAAGCTGAAGGTCATTCCATAGACCTTCCATTTCACTGCCTAGGCATTTTAAAAAGACAGAAATAGCGCCATGGCTAAAAGAGTAGAGGCTAGGGTGACTTACTTTAGGTCAGACATGGGCAAATTTTGGTGATGGCTGTAAGGAATTCTGAGAATTGACGTCCAAAACACCTGAAGGACCAGTTTGCTCATGCCTAACTTATCTATTGAGGTCTGCTGGACGTCACAGTGGCTGATGGAATTGTTTTGAGCCTGCCTAGGCATTTTAATCCATTGCTACGCTGACTAACCCACTTTTATTTTATGGCTGCTATGATCCATCTTAAATGAATACTGGTACTAGCCATTTTAAAGTAATTTTATCGTAATTGCTTTTAGGGTATATGTTGTAATGTTTACTCATGTCTTAGTTTGCTATGTCTTACTGGATGATGTTTTTTATTATTTTCATCTCAATGTTTAATTATTTGTTGTAAGTTTACTGTTGTCAGGAGAACTGTAAAAATGTGCAAAATTTTATCTGTTCATTGTATGTATTTGGGTTATGTATGT